ACTTGAATTTAATTTAAAATTAATATTTTCATTATTGCATTAAGGAAACCTTAGCGCTATCTGTTACCTAGATAGGTCTTTTAATAATTTTTGTGTAAACAAAATATCCAATTACACCAATTAATGCTAAGGATCCCACCACACTTAAAAGTATCCAAAGCCAAAGTAGAGAACTTTGATAATTATTATGATATATACCTGCTTTTGTCATCGTCATCTGGTTTAGGAGGTGCTGAATTATTAATTATTTCTAAAAGTCCATTTGCAAAACTATAATCATTTTATGCCTTCAAATATACTGGCTAGCTTTTTATTTAAACTCCATTTTAAATGGCTAATCTTGCAAAATCATAGATTGGATATTTCATTAACACATAATTTTAAGTTTTTTCACTTTTAATAATATTTTAATACGCGGCAGGCTTAAATATAACAAGAAAATATTACACTCTTAGAAATAGGATCTTGCTACAATACAAGAGCAAACTTTCTGGAAGTACTTTCCAAGGCTTCCAAGGTGGCTCCATTCATAGTGATCACTGTTGTATTTGTACTTGTAACTGCAGTTAATTAGGGTAATTTGTAAACACTTATGAGCAAATGAGTGTAATTTGTATAAGGAACCAAAGCATATTCTTGGCTGACAGTTAGTTTGTTTAGTGCTTAATAAACTCCGTATTAGTTAAGAATGAAAGGAATCATTATGGTACTTTTGACAGGTGATCCTTAATTCAAAGGATTTGTTATGTCATAGGAAAAGGTTACTCCGTATTGAGCCACATTGTTAGTTGTTATTAGAGTGGTGATGTTGAGTAGATTGGTTTAGGTAGATATGGATAGCACTCTAATTTAATAGAATTTAGTATTAGACTTGACAGCGAAATTTTCATTTAAAGTATTTGTTAAAGAGAATGAGTCTTTGTGATTATCCTTTATCAGTCCATTATCTAAATAAATTTAAATGAAATAGGTAATTTATCCAGTTGTTTAAAGTAGAATCTTTTGGTATTAAGTATTGCCTTATTGGAATTATGCAATGTCAAAATCTGAAATGTAGAAATCAGAGTCAGTCTTTTATCCGAAATATTGAGCATCGAAGATCTTTTCATTTTTTAGACTCCATTGGGCTTCTAATTACATTTAATAAGCATGTAGACTTCCTTAATACTCTTTAGGATTTTCTTAATTGGAATCTAGAAGATACAACACTGAATTAACATATTTAATTTTTGAGACCTGTTAAAGATTCAATTAAATTGAAGTAGTTGATTAGATAGGAGTGCACTTTTACTGCGACAAATCACATTTTGCAACATAAAGTATTTGCAAGGATTAATCATCAGTGCAAGATACTACAATAAATTCATTGTAAGTTGTTATTGAGGAGCACTATTATCCGACATCAATTTTTGAAATGAATTTGATTGTGTCATCGTCATTTTGGAATATTAAGGATTTTGGAGAAGATAAATATACTACTGTATCCTTAAACTTTGAGCCATCTATGATGCTATGACTAGCAAATTCAACATTACTCAAATTAGCTGCTTCAAAAGGATTCCTAATTTCTATTACACCTTTTTAGCATTACAAACAATCTATTTAAAAGTTAGTAACATGTCCTAAATACCACCCATTATTTTCTAATTTTATATATTGGAGAGTGTTTACTGCATCAAATTCATAATGATTCTTACTAAGTATGGTTTCATTGAGTCTTACTATTGATTATGTATTGATGAATTTGACGGGATAACTCACAGCCACTTTAGTATCCGATAACGAATTCTGAATGCTTACTCTGGCATTCAAATTTGTTGTGTAAGATTCACTAAGATGAGTTGGCTTTATTTCCATTAGTGAGTCCCTTAACACAACAACTAAATGTTATGTCTTCAAATCATTAAAATAAACAAACATTTAATCAAACCCTGAGGCAGCAGTTTCGATTACTTATGAATCTGGAATATTTAAATGGGTTTTTAGAACCTTATGCAAAGAATTTCTATAGAGAATATTAGATTCATAAATTAGAAATACTGTCTCACTCAAGATCTTATCAAAGGCTCTAATAAACAAGAATCCTGTTTCATAGACAAAATCAATTGTCAATGGCAACTGTAATTTGTATCTATTATAGAGAGGTAAGGATTTCATTAAATATATGTCATTCAGGTTTTCATAGTTATACTCCTTTATCGAATCTTCCCCTTCTAGAGATGTGATGATGTAAAATGTTTTTTATCCAATGGCTAATTCAATCTAAGAACCTTGTTTGTATTGGAATGCATCGATAAGAGTGAAATGATACCTTTGATCCCCTAAGATTACGCAATCCTCAGTTACTATGAATATGAATTCGCTCTTGACAAAGACATCCCCATAAACTTTTAATGGAGTGAATGTGCAATTCAGATTATAAGAATTAATTAAATCTTCGTCTATTGGGAACTTTTAAAGAGTTGGGACTATTCCAGAAATTACATCAATTTCTTTCTTATATTGTAGAACAATAAAGATATTTTATTTCAAGGATGTAAATGAAGTAATTCTATTTTCAGGTTTAGCTTCGTAAGTTATATTTGCTATTTTATAATGACTATTATCGAATGATTGATAGATTTCGATCTCATAATCACTAACTTAAAATTAAAAGTTTAAGGCTTCTGAATCAAATGTATACCAGTCAAATTGAGAATTGAATCTGTTTAATGTGATCGGCAATGTGAATTCATCCTATTTTTCACATGTGCAATGATTATCATTATAATTAACTGTAGAACAATCCCAGATAATGGCTGTCTTATTTTTATGTTATAAAAACAGATAAAATTTATTAGAAGATGTATGATGAGGGTCAACAAGAACATCAGCATAGACCACACTCGCAGCATCAAACCATTTAATTTCCTTAACTTCTAATTCCCACAAGAAATGAACTGTAACTTCAACATCTACGTGATCTACGTCTGGTGTAACATAATCAAGGTTTGGTCCTGAGGCCAAGTCTTGTAGACTAAAAGGTAAAGCAGGAAAAGTGATCATAGATGGAAAAGGGTTGTGACCTAATTCTAACACTTTAGTATTATCCTAAGTTAAAATTTAATAATTGATAATTGATTGACAAATCGAGTTCCCATCAGTTGCTACTAATTTTAGTGTGTTTTTCTCAATCAGATTTGTATTCTAGCATTCTAAATAGCCATCACTTAATTCGTATCTTCGAGATATGGTTTCAGATACAACGACGACATCAGGGGCATAGGGATTAACAAGGTAGTTTGAAGATATTAACATTTCTTTGTGTAGCAAGTAATTTTTTTCCGTGTTATAGAGGTACAGAATTTACTCATTGACTACCACTACGTATTATTGACTTAGAGAAACTTATGCTGTATAAGTAGCTGTAAATGGCAATCTAAATCCTCTTTCCATCCTATCATTAAGATAAGTCATTATATTTTATTCATATACGATTGCTATATGTAAGTAAGAATTTCCATCTTCAAGCAATCTATTATTTACATCAAAAGCATAAGCTTTAACCTTTCCATTGTATTGCAATGTTTTAACATATTTCCAATCACCTTCCTCAGTCACTTTATAAACATAAATTCCTTCAGTTTAATCCAAAATGTACACTTGACCATTAGGCATGACCTTGAAATCTATCAATGTAAAATTCACAGTTTTCTTGACGTCAGTACTGATTCTTGTTTTGTCCAGAACATTTCCTGTGTCTTTTATGATGCCATCATCATTTCTCATCAACAAATCAATTGAACAATCGTTATCTAGAACAGTCAAAGTTCCCTTTTCTGAATTAAAGGCTTATTAACCCCTTAGTAGCATTCTAATTGGCTACTTAGGTTATGGAGCTCCTAACTCGTTTTCTTCACCCATATTTGTTTTATAATATACATGATATTAAAACTTACGTCCTTTAATTGATTTGTACTATTGATGATTAGGAACTTCCTATCTATTTGCAAATGCTGTGTCGGGACTGTCATTCTAATTCACAAAATACAAATAATTCTTCATTGGCTAATCTGTTTAGCTTCTTTCTGCACAGTCCACTATCCACAATTCTGGGTTAATATATTCTATGTCGAAGCAATCTATTAATTATTCACTCCTGGTAAGCTAAACCTTTTTATCAAAATTTGGAGTTTAGTCCATTTCTATCACAGATCTAAATTCTTAACATTTATATTACCCAATTGCAAAATATATGTCATATTGTCTTTTACTAGAATCCAATTCTAAATAGGCGAAGTGATTTGTCCATGCTCCTGTACTTGCAATGTCGTAAGCCCTCAATGCATAGACAACACTTTATACTAACTTATCTAGAATGTTATTACCTCCTTAATGGTCTTTTTCTGGAGCAATTTAAGCAAAGGCTGGATGGTATTCCATGAAACTTGATTATGTTAAAGTATAATTTAGTCCGCTTCCTTTTATTAATGAATCTGCCTGCCATCTATAAACTTCTCCCAAACTGGTGTAATATGTAACATTTGGTTGAACAGTAACTAAATTTCATATAAATCAGATACCGCACTATTGCAATGATGGTACAAACAGATTGATTAAAAGAGTTATGATTAATTTCATTAATTTAATTTTATGATATCATTAAATAAAAAAATGAGGTAATGAGATTGCTCACTAGAATCAAATCAATAATAAATTTTATAACACAAATTCAATTTGTTGTTATAACCATAAAAATCTCAAATTTTATATATATATAATATTAAAATATAAATGGTGAAAAAATTTTATTAGTAAAGAAGGGAAAAATTCCACTCTTACTCCCGTTATTATATTCTAAATTATTGAAATTTTAATTGAAAATATACCATAATTATAGAATGAGCAAAATGCAAAAATTTTATGAATAATATATTACCAAGTGTTATACAAAAAACATCTATATTCCATATATTAGAATATATATTTAATCTATATAATTAAACAATTCAATATATAATATGTCAAAAATCCTTAATCCTAAAGATTAAACATCTTTACTAGAGATTGAAAATCAAGTTGAATTCAGTTAAAAAAATTGCGCTTAAGTTTTTTTCTTTACATGGGTTTATCGATTATTGGGGGTAAAATTTATATAAGGAAATTATTTATAGATTGGAAAGAACAAACCTTTAGTTTAGTCTGACTTAGTGATCATTGATTAAGATTCTAATATGGGAACTTCTCATTCAAAATTTGTGACCGCATTTAGAAAATAGGATTTAAAAAGATCCTTATACTAATCCTTTAAATGTACCTTATAATCTTAACTTAAGGGTTAATACTATTTTGTGCATTATTTTATGTGATCGTTTCTGGGTTATAATTATGTTCACCGATTATAACTAAAGAATCCTAAAAATATTTCATGTATGCTGAGCCGGAAGATAAACCTTCATTATAAAGCATGTTATATTTTGCAGCCATTTAACTTATTTACATGATAACCCTTTCTTTAATCAAACCATATTAATTATTTTATTCTTCACTTTTGAGTGTAAAATAATAAGGAGCATTGTAACAGGAGATACTTATTAAGACTTTAAAATTTCCCATCTCTCGTTCTAAACACTATTCAACTGGAGAACTTATCAATATGATGTAAGTTGATATAAATTAGGCGTCAAATTATTTTTATAACGCGATCATTATTTTTACAGTTCCGTTATAAATGATATGTGCCTTCGTAGTAATCTTTATAACGTTGGGAAATCAAGCAATAGTTCCTGCAGTTGGAGCAATAATTTAAGCAATTATTGGGTTGATATTTGGATATTTATATGGAATCGTTTAAAAGAGATACATGATTGCAAAGGATAATAGGATGAAAGCTGTTGACGAAGCATTGATTTATGCTAAGCAAGTTAAATTGAATACATTTGAAGATTTTTTTGAATAAAGAGTAAATATTTAATAAAATTAATAATAGATAAAAAATTATAGAGAAAAGGAGCTAAAACAATTGAAAACTTAAGTTTTAATGATGATTTTTATCCAATTAATATAAGGTTTTGTTGGAATCTTAACTTGGGAGTGTGTGTTTTTATTTGCAGATGACATCAATTTTGCAACAATGAGCATTATGATGCAAAATTATTCAAGTATTGTGAACATTTTATCAAACTTGCCTTTATAATTTAAAAATTTTTAGATGTCAAGGAACTCAATGGCTAGATTAGATAATTATTTTGAATAGAAGGAATGCAATGTTATAGAAAGATAAAGTGAAAGTAATAGTAGTTTTGCAATAAAAATAAATAAAGGTGTTTATAGTTGGAAATCAAATGATTAAATGAATTAAGATGTTATAGAAATCAAAGAGGAAAACGAAAAAATAAATGATAATAATGTCTTTAATATAGATATAGATGTAGAAATAAAAAAGGGATAATTTGTTGCATTTGTTGGAAAGTATTTAATTTAATTTATAAATTAATTAGTTCTGCTTCAGGGAAATCTACAATTTTGAGATCTATTTTAGGAGAAACCGATAAATAATCAGGTAATATTATAGTCAATGGGACTGTTAGTGTAGCAACTTAAGAACCTTGGATTATTAGTGGAAGTATCAAAAAGAATATTACTTTCATGAATTCATTTGATGCTCTTAGATATAAATAAGTACTTAAGATTTGTGGATTAGAAAGAGATATTGCATCATTTAAAAATGGAGATGATACTATTTTAGGAGAAAAAGGTGATAATTTATCTGGAGGATAATAAAAAAGAATTAATTTAGCTAGAGCCATTTATAATAATGCAGATATCTATTTATTAGATGATCCTACTAGTGCTTTAGACATTAAAGTTAAATATTAAATACATCAATAATGCATTTAAGGATATCTTAAAAATAAAACCAGAATCCTATTTACTAATTCCTTATCTAATTTATAGGAATGTGATATGATTTATATTGTCGAGAATGGAAAAATTGCTAAATAAGGTAGATTTGCCTAAATAGTTGGTGTAAGTGAAAATTAAGAATTTTCTTAAAAAGAAATAGTTGACTTTTAATTTGAGGATAAACACTATAAATAAGAGAACCCTGAAAATTAAGATGTTAGATAAAGTTTGATTCAAAAAGAAGATTAAGAAAAAGGTGATATATCAAGTTCTGTTGTAAAATAGGTTTTTGACTACATGGGCAAATACGTGGCTCCTATGTGCAATATCATTTACTTTGTTACTGTATTAGGTTGCTAATTAGTCGGAAATAAATTTATGGCCTAAGAAGGAATTACAGATTAAGAGTTCCGACACTTAGGATTGATTTATTATCCTCTGATATAATCACCTGTGATTATAGCTATAGTATTGTTAAGCACATACTATTTAATTATGGGTTTATCAACTTCAAGAAAAATTCACAATTCCGTAATTTATAGTTTAGTAAATGCCTCTTATACGAAGTTTTACAATACAATTCTTATTGGAAGATTAATGAACAGATTGAGCAAAGATATTTACAACATAGATTTATTATTTCCAAATGAAATTCAAAATTTAACCATTCAAATAACAACTTTGTTGCTTCCATTATTTGCTTGTTTCCTATACTTAAATATTGTTGCCTTGCCATTATTAATAATCTTTTTTATTATTTTGATTTATTTAACAGTCATATACTATAGATGTTTAAGAGAAATAACAAGAATTGAGGCTGTTTCAAAGAGTCCAGTCTTTTCTTTTTTCTAATAAATTGTCAGAGGAATAACTTATGTCAGAACTTGTTTGCCATTAGAAAAAGTAGTCATTTAGTAGTAAAGAAATGTAGATTTAGATCTGGGTAATTAGATAAATCTATATGGATTTCAATATTGGTACTAGTCACTGGCAGGATCGATTACAAATTGTTTCTAAGCTTTGCTCTTTATCATTTGTGTACATATTTATATCAACTTAGTTTATATTTCCAGGAAAAACTTAACAAATGACAATATTGGTATTAAATTAGATGCAGACAGTATCATAGTTACTTTTAAACTCCTCTATCTCTTATGGAAATATATAAATGTACCTTATAAGTTTTGAGAGATGCTTGCATTTAGCAAAGTAATTTTTTTTATAAATGAAGTAAAATTGAATAAGAAGAAAGAAATATATCATTAGTGACTCCTAGTGGGAATGAAATGGATATTTCTGAAGTGAAAAAACCCAATAATAATAAAGAAGACAATAATGTTATTTTATAACTTGAAAATTGTACTTTCCAATATAGACCAAATTCAAAGTGTGTTTTATAATAATTAACAATAGACTTACACAGAAAAGAAAAAGTATTAAATTTTATAAATTTTAAGATTGGAGTTGTCGGAAGAACAGGAGCTGGTAAGAGCTCTATTATCTTGGCCTTAACTTCAATCCTAGAACAAACAGAAGGTTCAGTAGAAATAGAATCGAAAAATATTAATTTATATTCCATTAATGAATTAAGATAAAAGTTTGGAATAATTCCATAAGATCCACTAATTTTTATGGGAAATTTAAAATAAAATTTAGATCCTTTAAATAAATTTGAAGAGTCACATATCTAAGAAATAGCTAAATAATGTGGACTATTAGAGATGTAGAGTTTTAAGCAATAAGGATTATATAGTGAAATTGCATTATAAGGTAGTAATCTTTCTTTGGGTGAAAAACAATTATTAAACATTGTTAGATGCATATTAGAAAATAAAAATATTGTTTTAGTTGATGAAGCTACTTCTAATATAGATTCAGAAACGGAAGAACATGTTAAACAAGTAATTGCATTTTATTTATTATTTTTTTAGTTATTTTAAAAATATTTTTAGAATGTAGCTATGATTTCAATTGCTCATAAAGTAACTACAATCATGAATTCAGACAGAATTATGGTTTTAAATGATGGATAAATTACTGAATTTGATAATCCTTAAAAATTATTAGCTGATCCCAATAGTGAATTTAAATAAATTATAGATCTAATAAAGCATTCTGAAGCACTGTGATTGATCATATATAAATTTAAATTTAAATAGGTTTTTCACAAATAAATATTTCATAAGGAAGCAATTAACTTTTTAACTTTTTTTTAAAACATTAAAAGAGAATTTTTAATAATTTTTATAAATAAAAAAGAAATATATGAATTAATATAATTAAAAATATGAGTCATCATATTTACAAAATAATTATAGGAAACCCTATTTTTGTTAAGTTGAATGCATTTTTCTCACTCAAAAATGACTTATAGGCATTAATATATCTGGTCAAATAAAATCATAGAATTTTGCTGTTTTTCATTATTGAAACTACACTAGTAAACTATTAATTCTTATTTTGCTATTACTTTTAAAGTATTCTAATTATTAATTTGAGTAAAATAATGTCAAATAAAACAAGGTAGTTAGTTTTTTGCAAAGTTTATTTTTTTCAATTCATATTTTTCCAAATTTTAATTTCAAGTAAAAATAGACATTTTTGGTTTATTAAAGCAGAGGATTATTATTATAAATGGTTATAATTTTTAAATACTATGAATAATTTATTTTGTGATAATTTTTAGTTTTTTTGCTATAAATACAGGCAATTAAGTAACTGAATCAATATTAATTATTTATGATAAATTTTATGAACTTGAGAGATCAGGTTTAATTATTGGATGTCGACCAATAAATTGAATTCAATCAAAAAAATTGTTGTAACATATTTTTTTTTGGTTGGATATATCGATTATTAGCAGTACTTAACTATTTTGAATTATTAACTCTAGATAGGTAGAAAGAAGCCGCTCACGCAATCAGATATGACAATCATCGATCAAGACTGCAATATGGGGACATCGTATGAAAAATTCTCCTCGGTAGATAAATAATAATGCTTGTGGCATCAATTGTTGTACTCTTTCAAAGGTAATAACATATTGTATTGATTTTAGGGTTGATTTTATTCTGCACAATTCTATATTTATTAATTGCTCTTCTTTCTTCCTGTTAGCCATTCATAACCAAACATTCCATATAATTTTTTTCTTATAACTTGGATCAAAAGCCTTCAGCAGCAAGTATGTTGCTTTTTGTTACTATTTAACTAATTTATAAGTTATTTCTTTCATTACTTAAACCTTATTAATCCTTTTATATATGTTTACTGAGTATTAAATTGCAAGGAGCTTTATCTTAGGAAATCCTATTAAAGACTTTAAAATTTCCTATATAGAGATCATAACATTATTCAACAGGAGAACTTATTAATATGATGCAAGTTGATATACATTAGGCTTCGAATTATTTTTATTATGCTATTATTTTATTTACAGTGCCTCTATAACTATTTATTGCTTTCATAGTTGTCTTTATTACATTAAAAGACTAAGCGCTTATTCCAGCAATTGGTTCAGTTTTACAAGCAGTTATAGGAATATTATTTGGAATTTTTTATGGAATACTCTAAAAAAGATATATGGTAGCCAAAGATAATAGAATGAAAGCTGTTGATGAAGCCCTCAGTTATGCAAAATAAATAAAACTGAATACGTTAGAAGAATTTTTTGAATAAAGAGTATTAATTATAAAAATTATAGATAAGAATTTATCGTGAAAAAGAATTGCAGCAATTGAAAAATGAAGTTTTGATGATGATATTTCTACCCCTTATTCAAAGTTTAGTTGCTATCTTAACATGGGAATTGGTATTCTTTTTAACAAACCCAATTGACTTCGATATTATTAATATCATGATGTCAAATTACTCCAACATTTCCAATATTTTATCTAATTTACCCTATTAATATAAAAGCTTCTAAGTATCAAGAAACTCAATGGCAAGATTAAATAATTATTTTGAATAGAAGGAATGTAATGTTATAGAAGGATTGAGTGAAAGTGATAGTGATAGTAATTTTGCAATAAAAATAAATAAAGGTGTTTATAGTTGGAAATCAAACGATTAAATGAATTAAGATGTTATAGAAATCAAAGAGGAAAATGAAAAAATAAATGATAATAATGTCTTTAATATAGATATAGATGTAGAAATAAAAAAAGGATAATTTGTTGCATTTGTTGGAAAGTATTTAATTTAATTTATAAATTAATTAGTTCTGCTTCAGGGAAATCTACAATTTTGAGATCTATTTTAGGAGAAACTGATAAATAATCAGGTAATATTATAGTCAATGGAACTGTTAGTGTAGCAACTTAAGAACCTTGGATTATTAGTGGAAGTATCAAAAAGAATATCACTTTCATGAATTCTTTTGATGCTCTTAGATATAAATAAGTACTTAAGATTTGTGGATTAGAAAGAGATATTGCATCATTTAAAAATGGAGATGATACTATTTTAGGAGAAAAAGGTGACAATTTATCTGGAGGATAATAAAAAAGAATTAATTTAGCTAGAGCCATTTATAATAATGCAGATATCTATTTATTAGATGATCCTACAAGTGCTTTAGACATTAAAGTTAAATATTAAATACATTAATAATGTTTTTATGGATATCTGAAAAATAAAACCAGAATCCTATTTACTAATTCTGTATCTAATTTATAGGATTGTGATATGGTGTATTTTATTGAGAATGGAAGAATTGTTAAATAAAGCAAAATTCCTCAAAATATTAGTTCAAATGGAAATCACCAAACGTAGTAAAATGAAATGGGGGAAAATTAAAATGGATAGAAATTAGTGAAACCTGAATTTATTGATAATTAAGAGGCAAGTTAGAGTTTAATATAAAAAGAAGATTAAGAATAAGGAAATATTTCCCTCACAGTTTACAAATAAGTTTTTGTTTATATTGGCAAATATTTTGCACCTCTATGTACTTTGGTGTATTTCGCAATAGTTTTAGGCTTTTAACTTTATGGTAATGATAAGTTAGCCTAATAAAACGTATCAAATGAAGAGTATAAAAAAATTGCCTAAATATATTATCCAATTACTTAATTACCTGTAAGTCTAGCAGTTGTATTAATTAATGCTTATTATTTATTGATGGGTTTATCTACCTCAAGAAAAATTCATGGTTCCATTATCAATCGATTACTTAATGCATCTTATACAAAATTTTATAATACCATACTTATAGGAAGGCTAATGAATAGATTAAGCAAAGATATTTACAATATCGACTTAGAGTTTCCTAATGAAGTCTAAAATTTTAGTATTTAAATAATAAATCTATTAATTCCATTAGTAGAAAGCTTCATATATTTAAATGTTGCTGCTTTACCTTTGCTGCTTATTTTTTTCTCCGGCTTAATTTATTTAACAATAATATACTATAGATGTTTAAGAGAGATAACAAGAATTGAAGCAGTTTCAAAAAGCCCAATATTTTCCTTCTTCTAATAAATTGTAAGAGGTATAACATACGCAAGAACTTGCCTGCCAATAGAAAAAATAGTTGTTTAATAGTAAATAAATGTCGATGCCGACTTGGGTAATTAAATTAACTTAGATGGGATTCAATATTGGTATTAATCCTTGGCAGGATCATCTACAAACATATTTTAAGCTTTTTTATTTATCATATGTGTAAATTATTTGTTTTTAATTTAGTTTTTTTTTCCAGGGAAAAATAGCGATAAAACCTTTCTAGTTTTAAATAAAATGTAAGAGCTTTCACTTTTAGTACTGAATGCGTCAATATCCTACGGCAATATATAAATGTATCTAATAAGCTTTGAGAGATGTCTACACTTAGCTAAGTACTTAATATTTAAAAATAAGTAATGTCGAATTGGATGAAAGATTCCTTCCTCGAATATCTGAATAAGACGAGGGTTTAGAATAAAAAGAAAGTGAAAACACAGTTTTAAAGCTTGAAAATTGTACTTTTCAATATAGACCTTTCTCAAAAAGTGTTTTACAACAATTATCCTTTAAATTAAAACATAAAGAAAAAGTATACAAATTTAATAAGTTTAGATCGGAGTCGTTGGGAAAACTGGATCAGGCAAAAGCTCTATAATTTTGGCTTTGACTGCTATTTTAGAATAGATAGAAGGTTCAATTGAAATTGAAAAAAAAAAAATTGATCAATATTCAATAAAAGAATAAAGATAAAAGTTTGGAATAATTCCATAAGATCCATTAATTTTTATGGGAAATTTAAAATAAAATTTAGATCCTTTAAATAAATTTGAAGAGTCACATATCTAAGAAATAGTTTAATAATGCGGACTATTAGAGATGTAGAGTTTTAAGCAATAAGGATTATATAGTGAAATTGCATTATAAGGTAGTAATCTTTCTTTGGGTGAAAAACAATTATTAAACATTGTTAGATGCATATTAGAAAATAAAAATATTGTTTTAGTTGATGAAGCTACTTCTAATATAGATTCAGAAACGGAAGAACATGTTAAACAAGTAATTCATTTTATTTATTATTTTTTTAGTTATTTTAAAAATATTTTTAGAATGTTACTATGATTTCAATTGCTCATAAAGTAGCTACAATCATGAATTCAGATAGAATTATGGTTTTAAATGATGGATAAATTACTGAATTTGACCATCCTTAAAAATTATTAGCTGATCCCAATAGTGAATTTAAATAAATTATAGATCTAATAAAGCATTCTGATAATATGTGATGATTAATTTAAGTTAAAAAAACGATTATATGTTATTAATTATATTTTATTCTTTTCAATATTATCATTATATTTCAATTGCTTATTTAATAATTAATTTTTAAGAAATTGGATTTGAGTATGTTATTCGCATTCCATCTTGAGTCACACTAAATGCATAAATTTCTTTTTCTTTTATAATCTCTGTGATTAGGTTAAACTTTCCATCCCCATTTAATTTGAAGATTTTAATTTGATTACCTGTACAGCAAAATAATACATTTGAATTATGAATGTAAGTTAATTTTGAAGTGAAAACACTCCAATAGTTTAGACCATCAAATTCAATTACTTACTTTTAATAAAACAAATAATTTGATTGAGATTATTCCCATATTTTAATTTCACTTAAATAACTTAAACTTGAAAACTTCCATTAGTTGATGAATGTGATATTATTAATAGTCCTTTGATGAGCACTTAGAACTCTTTAAAATTTCTTAATAATTATTTTTTCAATATTGATATCCTAGTATTACCATATTGAGATATTTCCATCAAAAGTGCCAGAAACTAAATAATTTATATTGTTTCCAGTAAAATATGATAAATTAATGCTATTAAACTAAAAGTTATATTAACAACTCCAGTTATTGAAAGCATCTACATACCAAAATTTGATTCCATTTTTTTAACTCGCTGTTATAATCTAATTATCATTTTATTATAGCAGAACCGAGCAAATCTAATCTTAATGTCCTTGTATTAGTTATTACAATTGCCATTTTCCATTTATCATCTTAACTATTCCGAATTAACCTACAAGGTCATGAGTAATAAATAGATCTTAAAATTTACTAAATAACATTCTGATTTAGAGCGTACCTGTGCACAGGTTATATAAAAATGTATAATTGTTTTCTTAAAATTTCCAAAAATACAAGCCATCAGATAATGCTGTCACTAATATATTACCATTATGGTTGAAGCCTGATGCATATACTTATTTAATTCGTTTCAAAACTTGTATTGTTTTGTAAAATTTATACTTTTACCAAATGTTCTTATTTAGATATTGATATTTTAGAAGATAATTAAGATAATTTTAATTTTCACAGGTGTCCTTATATTATTCTAAATTTCTTTGAACAATAAGCTAATCTTTTTAAGAAACTAAATTATTTAATTTTTCTATGCTTTATAATGTTAACTTGTTATTTTAATCAAATTTCCATTTTCTATTATTTTAAAGTTCGTCTTCTATATTTTTAATGGAAAGATCAATATTTTAAATATCTGATGTAGCATCGTACTAGTTCACTTTGGAAAAGTCTTCAAACTTCACTCTTAAATTTTTCAATTTTTAAGTTTTTACTTAAATCTATTAATCAACCCAAGTTTCTTCTTTGCCCTTTTCCTCCTCCATTATCTGCAGAGCATTATTAATTGTTAAGCTGCCTTTATGACAGAGCCCCCATAAAAAGTTTAATCTTTCCTTTTCAATTTGATCTAAAACATAAACTTAATTGTTTTTTTTCTCTTCAAGAAGTTGAAAATCTTATTAATTCATAATCTTATTATTATTCTTTTACAAATATTTAATGATTCTAATAAATTCTAGAAAAACAATGAATTTTTTTTTCTGATGATTATTATAAAATAAATAATAAATAAGTTTCAATTGTTAATGTTATTTTAATAAAATTAAATTTCATACTCTATTTATGAGTAATTAATCAGATCCAAATAGGAGAAACTAAATGATATAAAATGCAGTTCCAGAAGAAAAATATCGGAAGCCCAATCCAGTTGGTAATCACAAATGGGATGAAGAAAATTTTATCAATTTTTAAGTTACGCAAAAAGGATAAGGAATCAATTTAGCAACTTACAGATGTAACACAACCTTGCAGTAACCAAAATCAATTACTGTGTTTTTTCATGGTTTGAATGAGCATCTTGGTTTATATGCTCATATAGCTTAGGCTGTAAGTAAATAAGCCAATAGTGTTGCAGTAGGATTTGATTTTAGAGGATTTGGTAAAAGCTAAGGAGTTAGAGGTTGGCTTGAGTCTAGAGAGTAACTAGAAAATGATTGCATTCAATTTATTTAAAAAATACGTAATCTTTATCCTGATTTATCACTATTTACTTTGGGACAATCAATGGGAGGAATGGCTTCATATTTAATGGGATAGTTCAATTAATGCGAAGGCACAATATTAATAACTCCAGCTATTATGGATAATAGATATAATTAATCATTTATGAAGTCCTTAGGTCTGATATTTGGAGCTTGTTGTCCTACATGGAATCCTTTTCCACCAGTAAGGTAACCTGGATCAAGAAATCCTCAAATTTAAGAGGATAATCTGAAAGATCCATATTGTACTTTAGTGGCCGTACTGCCTGGAACAGGAAGAACATTGGTATCTACTATGAGATCTCTTCCCCAAACATTCTCTTCTTATAAGAAGCCCTTCTTAGTGATAACTGCAGGAATGGATAAAGTAGTAGACCCAAATGTTGGCTAAGAATTAATGAAATAAAGTCCCTCTTTAGATAAATAAATTATACACTGTGATTAGATGTGGCATAACTGTGTTCAAGAGGAAGAAATACTTGAACTTATTCCAAAAATTACAGAATGGATTTAATAAAGATCTAATTAATGATAAAATGATTTATTTATTACATCAAATTTATAAATCAGTAACTCTTTTTATTACTAATGATTTTACTATTTTTTAATATTATTTCAATTTACCCTAAGGAAGATCTCAAAGAAAAATTTAACATTTTGCTTTGGTATCCATAATTTATCAAAAAAAGTTCGTTTTAATAAATTCCTGATATATAGTTTAATCTAATTTAATAATACTTACATCCACTTTCAATTAATTTATATTTCAAATAATATAATGAATAAATTCACTCTCAGGTTTAGTTAGCAATTATTAGAAGTACAGTATCAATCAACAAGACTTGTTATGAGGAAATAAATTCTATATGGGGTTTCTTCTGGATTTATAATTATGAATACAATTTCAGCAATATTAAAAATTATAGGAAATGACAATGATAGTTTACCATTAGATTTAGCTTAATCATCTGTTGCTTTGATTACTGTATGCGCTGTTAGATAATACCCAAAGTACATTCTAGAAGGATTAAATATATTAAATTTGCTTTTTTGCCTTGTATAAATAAATTTGGATGAAAGTGCAACTTCTCATTAAATGTACATCTTTGGCGCAAATATTATGGCAACACAACTAATGTTGCTAATTGGTTCTGATTTCATATACTCTTTACCATAAATTTCAATCATGGCTTGTTTTAGATTAGGAATATAAAAAGTATACTAACAATTTGATTGGTTTTCAATATCTCTGACTTTATTAGTCTCATTATGGCTAGGGATTGTTTAATATCAATTTGATAAAACACTAAGATCTCAATTCTTACTCACATTAAAGGATCATGGTTGGGGTAATTATATTTTAAAATTTAGATTAACTTTTACCATAAATTGTAGACAAGCCCTACTTTTATTTTCGATATAATAATTCGTAATTTGAAATAAAATAGATTCATAAATAATCATAGATTTTTAATTATAATGAAGACTTTTGTCAAGGATGTAATTTGAGACATTTTTTAAGGGAATTTTAATTTAACAATCAATCTATAGAGGCCTTCATACTAAATCGATTAAAAAGTTATCAAAAGAACATCTATGATAGAGAAATATTAGGCAAAAATAAGAAAAAATATTCAATACGTATGAATTATTGTGAAATTTTCAGTGATTATCCAAACTTTTTAATCATTCTAAATGATACTAAAAATAGCCATAATATATCTAAAGAATTATAAGCCTCTTTCATGAAAAAATATTTTACAAGTTATTCAAATCATCTTTTTAAACTTATTTTGAAAGGAGATTCAAAATTTAAAATAATTCAGCTAAATTATCATTATTTATCTGCATTATTTCTTAAGGATTATACTGTTCAAACCTTTTCTCCATGCAATCAACTATAGAAAATTCTCAATTTATCAGGAGGAGTAAAAGTATAATGTTTAAAAAAATTTAAAATATAAGGGTATAAAAATTTATTTTCAGTATTCTGGCTGTAAACTATTTTGATAATGGTAATCTCTTAAAACAGAAGTCATCTAGAGCTTCCAATAATCGAATTAAATAAGGAATAAGATTATATAGAATATACCTTAGTTCTAAATTATCCAAAACTATTTGAAGACATGTTCAATTAAAATTTAGTTATTTAAAGGCTCAAAGAAGTTATATTTTTTAGCATTAATCAAAATAAATGGAAATTCAAATCTTACTCTAAACTTGATATACCTTTTAGGAAAATTGAAAATAATTGAGTTAAAAATTATAATTAATAATTGACTTAAGAATAATAAGATCTTTAAAACTCGTTTATTTTATACTAATTTTATTTTTTAATTAAATTAAGTTCTTCTAACCTTGTTTTTCTCTTACAATTAAACAAGTATAAATATTTGTACTCACCTAATTTTATAAGAAAATAATAAACAAAAAAAGTAAGAATTTAATTATTATTTCAAATTTATTAATTCAATGAATTCAAAAAACAAAGATGTGTTTATCATAAATAAACCTCATTTATGTTAAATTCATAACTAAAAACTTGTACTAGTGTGTTCTGACCCGCAATGTTAAGACAATGGATTGATTTGTATTGATTGTTTACTTTAGAACCATAAAAATTGCAAAGCTTATATTAAGAAATATGATGAGTTTCTGTGGATAATGTAGAATACAATCGAAAAAGTTCAAATCTAGAAAGAGAAGGTATAGAGTATTAAAATTCATAGAGATTTAAAGATGCCCAATCTATCTTATTAAGTCTAGGAAATTTATAACCAAAATTTAATGAACTCATTTTAACTTTATAATTAGTAATAGAATATTTAAATTTTCAGGAAATAGAAACGTATTTATAGCAAGAGAATTTTGAGCATGATACTAAGATAATGAAAAATTTATTTTAAGCTGATTTCGAAGGAGAAAAAGAATTAATAAAGGAATTCATTTAACTATAAAAACTAAAGTCTTAACATGAAAAAGAATATCTATGGGAACTTAAAGGAAGTTAAATAGTAGAATGTCTCCATTAAATTGTAAATGATATCTACAATTAAGAGTTTAAAGAATAATCAAAAATTATGGATTCCTAAAAATATTTAAAAGTAAAGGGAATAGATGATCTAAAAGGAATATCTACCTACATTCCAAAACTTCGATTAGAATTGTAAATTTTATAAGTAATACAACTAGATTATAAAATAATTGGGGAGGTATAGGAAGTATTTTTCCAAAATTTGTGTCTTTAAGTAGCTTGTAAATTAACGCCATTAAATCTCCTCTAAAGGCATAAAATTTAGAAGAGATAATTAATGCAATCTAGTATTTACCAAGATTAGAAAAGTTTAAAATCAATTTAATTGGTTCAAATGCAAATGAATAAACTTTATAATTAATTTTAAAAATTGTCAGCAATAAAAGTTTGACAGAGTTCGGAATTTCTTTTGGATATAGTTAAATTTTATCTGATGATTTAATAAGATAGATAAATTAATTTAAAGAGTAACTTAGAGGAATATCAAGGATATATATTAGTAATCAGCTTCATGAATTTACAGAATAATAATAAAAATTGCTCAAAACATATTTAAGTTAAATTGAATTTTTTGGATGAGGACAATATACGTATTAATTATAGATTCAATCTTAAGGGATTTCTATTTAAAGGTTTTTTTTTTTAATTCCAACCACTTTTTTTCTTCCACTCTCAATTGTTTGTTTTTTTTCTTCTTCATCTGGAGGGGATTTTGGAGAATGAGGAGACTGTTAATTAATAATCTCTCTTTCAGATTTTTCAAGATCAAGAAACATCTTACCAGTTTATTTGTTTTAATCTGGTTGTTCCTATTGATACATCCGATTAGTTTTTGTGAAAGAATTGGTTTAGCTTAAAATTTATGGCTAAGTATTAACATTATCTGTTCGACTTTCTTGTTTACGATCACAAGAATTAACATATTGTTGCAATTTATTAATTTCCTCTTCAAGTTTTTTATTTCTGTTTTATTGTTATTTACGAATATAAATGAATAAAGCAATACCCAGGAAGACTAGTAAAATAATTACAAACACTATAATGTAGATTTCTGAATTATCTGAGTCTTAATCCATTATTGAAATTTTATTATTTAACTATAAAAGCAATTATAATTTGGATAAAATTGGTAGTATACTAATTCATTGATAAATTTAAGCTAATATAGTATTGTATATTTCGAAAAAATTCAAATTCAATTGTAAAATAACACTCTTAATTCATTCTTTATTTATTTAATCAAATATAGCAGAATGATAATGGAAAAATACATAATCTTATAATTAATTAGATAATCTTAATGTATATTGATATATTGGAAATAATATATTAAATAATACTTTCTAAATTTTATTGATATGGATGATATTTATTTTAAGCTTCACTATTATAATATGATTCTTTAAAAGAAGATATTTAAGATTGGATATGAATTGTTAAACAGAATATATTCTTCTATCAATTTTAAATTATATTTTGATTTTTTTATTTTCATTATTTATTTTATATTATCTCTTTTCATTAAAATCAAAAAATTAAGCATGTGCAACTATTCTCAACTTGAATTACTTTCTATTCTGCATTTTTAACATTTGACTTTCTAACATAAGTTGAACTGGCTTAGATTTAGAATCTAAGTGCCTGTTATAGTGGTTCTATTAAAGTTCTGTAATTGTCTTTAAAATAGTGCAGAATCTAAATAGTATCATCAATCCCTTGTTACCATTACCTTAAATCAATATAATCAAGCCTATTTAATTCATATTCTTTTCTTTAAATCTATTATATTTAACTGCTAATTTATTTCTATTCTAATTTTCTATTTGATAATTCATAAGCAGCATATTAGATTTCAACTTCAAGTTCCTTAGGATTTTTTACTTTATTACTAATTACTTTTATTATGTTTCTAATCTATAAATCTGAAAATTATTTAACTCCTAAACTCTCATTAATTAATTTAACAATTTCTAATGATATTAAAATAGGCTTAAACTCAATGTAATTCTTCTCCTTTTATTAATATGATGTTCGCTATTAAGGATATATTCTAGCTGGAATGATTTAATTGGTTGACATAGAATTTCTTTCTCCTTTTATTTTCATTTAAGAAGGTTATGATTTTGATTTATCAATAATAGGTTTTTTAGTTGTTCTTCTGGAAGCACTTCTTGTTCTTTAGTAAACTGCTGAATTATTGGAAATTTTCTAAGTTTAACTTTCATTATTTTTAATATCTTTATTATATGAACTAGTAAGAATATAGCTCTAAATCATCGATTAATTGTTGAAATTCATTCTATCATTTTCTGGGGGGAGTAGCATTTAATTAGAATTATTAATTTAATCAACAATTTCCTTTAGCTTTTAGTTACTTTCTTCAGTTTGAGCTAATTAAATGATTCTAAGGTAATTTAGTAATCTCCAATATAATGATTAGAAATAAATTCTGTCTTGCATGTAAAGTAGCTTATGCTTTATAATTGTTTCTTCTGTATTCAAAGATTATTCAAGTATTTAAGAGATTGAAAATGTATCTTATTAATTAAATTGAGGCTGAATTTTTTCAAGTTCTAAATCATAATTCCACAAATTCTTATAAGCATTTTGAACTCTCTCAAAATAATTATTTAATAGTCTTAGAGATTAATCTAAATTATTAGTTTATAACAGATTGATCTCATTTTTTGTGGTTTCAAGTACAGATTCAATTAATTCTAAATTTTCAATTTCTTACCACATTGGCTCAATCCCAATTAGTTTATTTTTGATTATATTAGATTCCTCTATTTATTTTTAGATTCTGTACAATTTAAACAAATTTAAATTTAATATTGGATCTTCAGATGAGAATTTTAAACCTATTTTCAAACTCTCAATAGCCTCCTTCTCTTAACCTAGTTTACAAAGAACAACGGCTTTAAAAATGATGGTTAAATTTACCTCTGTTATTATAACCGTTAATCAAGTAATTATTGAGTTTGATTGCATAATTATAACATTCCAGAGATTCTTTCAATCTATCGAGCTTATACAAGGCATAACCTAATTGTGTAGTTTCTACATATACCTTTGCTAAAATAAACTATATGGCATTTAAGATCAATATCCAAGGCCCTTTCAAAAGTTTCGAGTGATTGTTCAAAAAGATTGAGTTAGATGCATAAAATTCCTTTGTTAATTAATGTTTCCAAAGTTGTTGAATATTTAAGTGATTAATCAAAATATTAAAGAGCTTCTTCCTTCCTGTTATTTTCAGCTAAAAGTAAACCTGAGTTTAATTAAGTCGTTACCTAAATTATAATAGACCTGATGATTATTAGTTCCTTCTGACACACATTTCTTATAATCTTATAAAGCTAATTAAGTTTGATTAAGTAATCTGTAGATATTCCCTAAAGATATTAATCTATTGTACCTCTGGTAAAATAAGCATCTATCATTTTTTAATCAAGTTCTATGGCCTTACTCAAATTTAACAAAGCTTCTTCATTTCTTCCTAGAGAGTGCAATATTTTGGCTTTAATATTATCAAATCATTCCTAACCTTATTTTAGAAATAACTCCGAAGTTTAACAATTATCTTACAAGAGGTTTATCTATTGACTCTTAAATCCTTAATTTATTTTATAATCCTTACCATCAACAAAACAGTGAATAGATGATTAACTCTGGCTTTCAGTGAGCATTAAAGTAAATAAATTATTAATTAATATTTGTATAATAATATTAGTAAAATTAAAATAAGAATTAGGATTTGAAAATACAGCTAGTATTTTTGTTGTATATCTTAAAAAATATAATATTCATGAAATTTAAAAATACTTAATTTTGTAAATGAATTAAAATTAAAAATAAATCGTCATTGTAATTATTATTCATAGATTTGTAATGATCGCAGCTTGTTATTGATTAACAAAAGATATTTACCATCATTTGTTAAAGTTCCTACCCCCTCCTCATCAATTTCTTCTTCAATTTAGAATTTCCAATTCTACTTCCTTCTAAGTATTAATGTCTTGTTATTGTGTTTAAGTAGTAATATCTATTTATTCACTACAAATTACAATGGACTAAAACTAGAAAGATCAACATTCAGGTACTGCAATTCTATTTTTTATGTATTTACAAAAATATTTGCTTGGTTCCTTGTGTAAATTTCTATGTATCTATGTGAGTTTTATTAAAGAACTATTTAATTGTCCTAGATAAAACAAGCTCTAAAGCTTTGTGATTAATGCTTAATGATTTGTTATTTTTTCCATTCTTATTCCTGATTTAGACTCCATATTATTAAATTTCTATCGTAACTGCATGAAGAAAACTGAGTATATGATTAGTTGAAACTCAATTAATAAACAGAATTTTGATGAACATCTATATTTTAGATGCACTCCCATATATTTTGCTTCTTCCCCCAAACAAGTATTGAGTTATCACTGCTGCTGGACAGAATTTAGTCATCTGATTTGTTGATAATTATACTATATATATATCCAGTATGTCCTTTTAGTATTTAAGTTGTTTACCAATTCTTATGACTTATCTCCTCCCAAATTCGAATTGATTTATCAGCACTTCCTGAAACAAGCATGTTATTATTTTTGCTACAAGCTAAGCAATAAATTTATTGATTGTGACCATACAATAGTTAGCTATTATAGAGTTGCCCATTTTTAAATTACCAAATTTTTACATTCTCTCCAATCCCTTAGAAAAAAACGTCATTTTAATGATTGAAGAGTAGCACATTTGATAATTTATTTTATTCCAAAGATTCCACAATTTTATAATTTATACAATCTCCTTCAAACTTTTTAACAAATTTTTTTATTTAAAGGAGGCCATCCTTCTAAACATTGGCAAATTCTTTAAGTTATTTCAATAAAGGTTCATAATCTAATAAGTAGAATTTATTAATTTAATCATTTAACTCTGAATATTATTATGACGAATTTGCTTCTTTTATGAGAATATTATCAATTATTGAAAGTAATTATTGAACTTGCTTTTGGATTTGATCTTTAAAATGCAATATAGATAATTTTAGTTGTGGCAAAACACCTTTTCTTTGAATTGACTTTGATTTAGCTAATTAGAATTTCTTTTCATATTAATTCACTATGTGATGTATTGGGATTAAACTAAAATCAATCTATTCATTTTTTATCTCTTTGAATATATTCATCAATAGCTATGATTAAGGCTGCACTGGGCTTCGTCTTTGATTATTGATATTCATATCTAGATTATCAAATAAAAATATTAAATTCGTTAATAATTAAGTCAATAAAGTAAAATATAATAAACTTAATAGAATAATTTTTGGATGTGAGAATGGATCTATGATCAAATAATCAAACTATAGTAGTCTTAGGTATGTTTGAATATTTCTAAATGATGAAGGAAAAGAAGCATAAGAAGTTTGTTTTCAAGACAACAGTCTTATAATTATCCTAAAATTATTTAAATTTAGAATTCTAAAAATTATAAATATTCTATTATATTTTATCACAACTAAGATGTTATTCAAAGTTTACCATATTTTGATTAACTTAAAACCTCGATCTTTAAGATCATTAATGGCCTTTTTAGACCATAAAGTTTGTAGAATTCTCATTTTATTAAATTAAATAAAGTTGTTTAATTATTTCATGTTTGGAGATCAAACATAATAAATTTGCCATTTATTTTTCTAACTATTATTCTTACAAAATTTATGTTGTAATTAGGTATTATAAAAATAATAATCATAAGCTCATTTTATATAATTTGATTGTCTAGAATAGTATTATGAAAAAGGTCTGTTTGATGAGATGTTATGATTAATTGTATTAGTTTAGGTAGTACATTAATCTTCATGATCACTTTACACCCTTTTCAGTTTTCTAAAAAAGACAGAATAGTTTTTGTTTCTACTTTAAGTTCTTGCTGATAACATTATTTACCTTGGAGTCAATAGTGATGGATCCATTTCTTAATAACTTTAGACTTTTATTATTGTTTGATTTTCTTATTTATTCATATATTTTTCAATAGATTTAGATAATCTTAATCGAAATCTTGAAATCAAATATGAGTCTTTGATTGTAGGATGAGAATCCCTCTTTGTTGTTTTTTTAGTAGAGAGATTTCTTTAGATTTAATTTTCGACTTTTTCAACAAGATAAGGATATAAAGTATTAGTATTTTATGTCTTTATATAATTGCTGGGTTCAGTTATTAAATACTTTCTCTAGATTTCAAGTCTTTATAAATAAGTTAGATTTGCTATCTTATTTGAATTAGATCTAATGTATTTAGGGCTTTTTAAGTCTAAAAAGTGGGTCATGTTATTATCACTTTACATTGAATTAATAAATAAAAAGAAACTGATATTGTAATCCTGAAATCAACAAAATTCATATATCGCTCAAGTAACAGTTCGAAAAATTCAACTAATCCGAATCTTCAATTAATATATACAAAAGCTATTTATAAATTCGAATGCTTACTAAAATTCTATAATTCCCTAAACAATCAAATTAATTACCTAACAAAAATGATCAATTTTCATAATTAAAACCTTTATTATGATATCCTCAAATAATAATATTAGATAATTTATCGAACTTTTCAACTCAAAAGTTAAAAGCACATCCCTATAAATACGATATCTCATATATTTTAGAAAAAAGAAAATATATAAGTAAAACCATGAACCAGTTTAGAAATCCTAACCCTTAAAATCCATTAAGATCTGTAATGATCACATTAGTTTTATATTTTAATATAGCAAAAGCCTGACATACAATTAGTAAAAAGTGTTATATCATCAGGTTATACGAATAAATGTCATAAAGAAAGATGTGAATTTAAAATGTTATTATTATTATTATTATTATTATTATTATTATTATTATTATTATTATTATTATTATTATTATTATTATTATTATTAAAAAATGAATGAAGAAATAAAAACAATAGTGTTCAAGAATTACATAAGTGGATAAGTAGTTACTTTATAAGCAAAACAAGAAACGAAAGTTGGAGAATTATTAGAATTAATTGAATAAGTTGCAAAACATGAGTAAAAAAATTCGTAATTCTAGCAATAAGTCATCAGGTGATATTAATGAAATTCATTTGTATTTAAAAGCTTAGGATAAAATTCTTTAATTAACTGACTCAGTTGGTTCTATTTTAAAGGGAATAACTTTTGGTGAAATTGAAATTAGATAGCGCTTTTCATAAACATACTCCGAACTTTAACCAGTTACTATCTTAATTTTACTTTAAAGTTATTTAGGCGATTTTATTAGAAAACTAGAATTAAAACTTAGTAGGTTCGATAAATTAAGTTTAATAGAGGATATTATTTTAAGATAATTAAATAAAGATAGGTATATTAAATATTTCACATAGGGAAGCATATAAAATTTCATTTTTAGTTAAAGGAAATTTATGTCAATCTAGGCAGTCATTAGCTGATTTAGATCTTATGAATAATGATGAGATTCTAGTTATAGTTCCTATTATATTAAAAATACATTAACAAGAAGTAGGAGAAATCGCAAATTTTCAAAAATATTTCTGCCCCTATGATTCCTTAGAAGATGTATATAACTATATTTTAGAATATTAATCTCTGTTGAAGTAGAAAAAAAAATTATTAATAGAGAATAAGTTAGCCTAGAATTAATAATTAAGAATAAAACTTATAACTCAAGTTAATGGAAACGGACTTTATCTGAGTTAAAACTAGTTGATTATGATATAATAAGTGTAAAATATAGATTTTCAGGCGGATTTTAAAGAAAAAAAAATCAAAATTGAAGGAATATTGATTGTTTTAAATATTAAATTTCCAAATAAATCAATTTCTTTATTAAATATTAGATAACATCCTATTCTTATTCATGACGAGTTATTTTTGAAAGTTGACTTTGTTATAGAAAATTTCAACCAAAAGGTATCGAATCTCTTAAAATATTATTTAATTTTATTGATATTAAGAGAAATTTATACTTCAGCTTCTTTGTAAAGAAAATTTAATGAAAAATGAGTATTCTGTTTGCAAAGTAAAAAAGTAACAAAAAAAATTAAATTAAATGGCATCTTTAGGGTTTGTAATGTAAATTGCTCATTTGAAGAATGAAATAATAAATGAATTTATAATATTCTTAATTTAGTCCCTTAATCATATTTTTCTTAATTTATTAATAGAATAAAGTATTATATATTGGATGAATCACAACCATTAAATGTAAAAATAATGAATGAATTTCATTAATTATACTATTTTCTACCAAATTATAAAGGTTCTTAAAATAGAAATTTACTCAATTCATTATGAAGCACTCTTTATTTTATAGAATTTACGATTATCTTTACTTTTTTGGACTAAACTATGTATGATATTCATAAAAGCAGAAAATTATAGAAGGTTAAAGGCCCTTCTCTAGTATTTTATTTTGATTGATTTTAATGATAAATGATGATTATTAAATTTAATGCAATCATTTAATGACTAGTATTCTCACTCTACAACTTTAGAGCCATCGAAGTAAATTATTATAATATGTAGGTCATTCAAAACTAGAGCGATCTTTGATTCTATGGAGATTTCGACTAAGTAATTCTATATGTTTGATAATGACACAGGGGAAATAATAGACCTTAGAACTTCTGAGATTGTTGAATATGATTAAATCTAATTCTAAAAGGAAAATGCTTGGCAGGATTTTTGGAAAGAATCTTAATTGAAAACGTTGGAGCTAATTAAAGCATGCAAATAAGGTTAGTTTACTCTTGTAGAATCAATATTGCAATCTTAACACTTTATTGATATAAATGCTAAGGATTCAAATGATCAAACATGTCTGCATTTTGCTTGTAGTTCTGGTAACTTCTAAATAGCTTATCATCTAATATAAAAAGGGAGCTATTTGAATGAATAAGATTGCGACGGATGTACTCCTTTGATGATAAGTGTTAAAGGCAACCTCATAGACATAGTTACCTTGTTAGTATACAACAAAGCAAATGTAGACAGGTAGGATTTTTCGATGAATACTCCTCTTCATGTTGCTTTGGAGAATAATTCTTTAGAAATAATATAAATTTTGCTTAAATATAAAGCTGATCCCTATATTAAGAACGCAGAAAACATCAATGCACTTTAGTTGATATCGAATACTGAATAGTAACTAATATTCAAATAATTCGGATATGAAAAGTAATATGTTATAGAAAGACTGGTTAAAAGCACTAAAGAACCTAAAGACTAAAAGGATTCAGCATCTTATCGTAAAAGCATCAATAGAATAATGAAGTTTTTGGGGTAATCAGTTTCAACCAATACTTTATAAAAGCAAACTTATTAGGCCAGATAATCAGTGGTTCCAATAGGAGGTCAGAATATAGGGCCGGATTCTTTTACGTATCACAAGGAACTAGGAAAAGGTGCTTTCGGAATAGTTTATCTCGTTAAGAAAAAAGATGAATAAAATAGCTTATATGCAATGAAAGTATTGAGAAAAGAGAAAATAAGCTAGAAATTGTTGCCTTATATTTAAACAGAGAAATCCATTCTCTCAGTAATTGATCATCCTTTTATTGTGAAATTACATTATGCCTTTTAAACCCAACATAAGTTATTTTTAGTAATGGATTTTTGTCCTGGGGGGGATTTAACTAAACTGTTAGATTTAAAGTCTAAGTTGTCAGAGCAGGTTGCCAAAATGTATACTGCTGAGATCATCTTAGCCATTGAAGCACTGCATCAAAATAAAATTATGTACAGAGATCTAAAACCCTAAAACATTATTATTGATAATAAAGGACATTGTATGTTAACTGATTTCGGTTTAGCTAAAACTGATATTGAAAATGAGAATACAAAATCCTTTTGTGGTACTCCTGCATATATGGCACCAGAAGTAGTCAATAAAAAATTATACAATCGTTCAGTTGATTGGTATCAATTAGGTACCATAACACATGAAATGCTATTTGGAATGCCTCCGTATTATAGTCATAACAGAGAAGAATTATTTGAGAATATCAAAAATAAATAACTTAAATTTCCTTAAAATAATCTATCAAAAGAGGCTCTTTCATTTATTTCATAAGTAACAATACATCTATTTTCAGTTATTAGAGAGAAATCCTACGAAGAGACTTGGTGCAAAGAAGGACTCAGAAGAAGTCAAGGCTCATCCTTGGTTTTCGGACATCAATTGGGATTCGGCAATGAACAAAAAATTACCAGTTCCCCTGCCAAGCATTATGAATCAAGCCAATCAGACTCTGCAAGTGAATTTTGATGAAGATTCTCAAATCCAATAGAGAAAAGCAGTAGATAATTGGACTTTTATTTCTGATTGATTATATATATAAATTAAACTATGGAATATGAAATTATGCTGCTATGCAACACTTTGGGAATTGGAATTGTTGTGATGATAATCCTTTATCATTTAGTTGGTACCAAAGCAGATAAGAACACATATTGATTAATATTCATATTTCGTGTCCAAGCCTTACCTTATGATGTCCCTTTGTAAATATAAATTATGAACTCTGATTTCGTTATTCAAGCTTCTTTTATGACTAATTCAATAAATTGTTGATTGAATCTAAAGTCCCCAAGCTCCCATCATGTCTCATCTAATCACCCCATAAAAATGAAGCTGTTTCTAATGCTTTGTGCAATTTATGTTACAACACTAAAATGAATAAATCCAAAAGAATACAGTTTTTGTTAATTGGGTCTATCCTCTCCATTCTTGCTTAGTATTTTTTAACATCATCAATTTGAGAAAACTTATTTATATTATGTAACTATACCATTCCTTGTATGTCTAACTTCTTTTGATTTCCTGAAGGAAAATATTCAAATTTATTTAACTTGCTTAAGAAGTCCTATTTCTTGCTTTGGTTTTTTTCTGCGTGTTATTTTTACATTTAATAGAATGGAGTTTGTTCAATGCCAATTCCTGGAAATCTCACATACTAACTATTAAAAGCCTATAGTTACTTCCTTGTTTTTCCCAGATTCATTTATTTTTTCCCAAACTTCCTTTGTTCCATAAGCTTTGAATGGGTTAATTTGTTCTTTTTAATTCATTTATAATTATGTTATAATATAATTCTCGAAACTAGAATAAAATCCTTAACTCTGCTTTTTATATCATTATAAACCTTAATATTCGATGAACTACATAAGCATATGGATCCCTTATTATATTTTAACATAGATACAATCATTTGTATCCATTAAATTACATAAAGAATAATAATATTTTGATAAAATTGAAATTTCTAAATGAAGAAATATCCTCTTTAAGGATGAGATTAGCATAAATGTTTAACTGTGAACCTTGTTACAGGATCTTTTCTCTAGAATGTACCAATATGTTTTTGTCTTGTATTTGTGCTTACTAAATTGCTTTTAGAGTAAACTTAAAGTAATTTCAGGAAAGACTTAGAAACGATATTTATTGAAAACTTTAAAATAAATAAGTCCATTACATCAGAATTTAAGAGGGAGGTTTTATCTCTTACAGTAAAAACACTGAATTAATGCTAAAATGAATTTAAAGATATGTCAAATAAATTCATTAATAATTAGAATGGATGATTATGATGAGTTTTCTGATAACTCCATTGAGATTGTTCTCAATCAGTTTTAGGGAAAAGCTTCACATCAAATAGAAGAGAATATTACTATGTACTTAAAAAATCTGGGACTTAAAATGAAAACTAATCCTATGAGAAAATAATTTAAATATGAGAAAGAAAACAACTAAATTATTGATATTCTGACTTCAAGGACCATGTCTTCTTATGGTAACACTTTGAAGGAAACGGAGATCGATTATTGTTAAAAAATTAAATAAAACCCTCTCTTCCTGAGGAGTAAAAATAAAGCTAATAATTGGCAATTATGAATCAAATATGAAGCTTATATATGATAGATATTTAAAGACTTTGTTTTTAATAGCATTTATAACTTATTTAGTGTGTTTCTTAGAATTAAAGCTTTGCTTTGTATTCTCAATCAGTTTTTTCATAATATATTATTTTTATGATGTACTTTCAGTAGAATTTGTATGAAAAAATGAACGAAACTTGATGAAAAAATATTTAAACTAGATGTTACTTTATTAATACAAGCAGCTTTATCCATATTTATATAATTTTGCAAGAAAATCTCAGTAGAAAATCCTATTTATGTTCTAAGGTTCTGAAATTTGAAAGGAACCAAATAAGAAGGGCCTAAACTAATGGAAAAGTCTCAACAATATATTTCGAAAATAATTTCAATTTTAAATAGAGTAAAATGCTTAAACTTTAATAATTGATAAATTTCCATTAAAACCAGATCCTCCTCTATTGTAAATTCTAATCTTATCAACTAATTGATCCTCAAACTTAATTCTTATGAATCCTGCAAATGAGGCATTTTCATAGATCCTTTTTTCATTCTCTTCAAAGCTAATATAAACTTCGAAATCATAATGGGAGGTATCATGTCGATCCCAAATCTCAATAACAACAGTGTTGATTTCATATTTCTTATTCAAAAGGATTTCGAATGACTGATGAAGAGAACAATATGAGTACCCATTTGATGAATTCACATAATAAATAGCATCTCTATTTATTTAAGAATTCAGTTGACCGCCATAGAAATATGTATATTTTCGACTAATTAAGTTAATCTATCTAAAACTAACCACATCCTTATATTATCCTCTTAAGATTCTTGCTTTCTTTTACATCTAAATTAGAGTACAGCAATTGGTAAAAACAAGGATTGAGAATAGAACTTTATAAATCATAATGAAATTTAATTATTAATCACTAAAAATCTTAATGGTTTTACAAATCGTAGTATTCCTACATCAAAATATTAAGTTGAGAATTAATATTCAAGTCTTGGCTCGATCAATGATTCATTAAACTGAATCATTATATCATTTCATTAGCTTTGTTTAGAAAATGTCTAACTATAATTGACAATAATTTTGGACAATTCTTCCCACTATTAGTTTGATATATCCAAGAATTTAGTAGCTTATATCAATTTCAATAGAATTTACGTATGAATAGAGCTAAACGGTTTGCTTATTATGGAAAAGTATCGTTGCCTATGGAGATCTATTCTAGCAACTACTTAAATGAATTAGTCATGATTTAATTTATGAGATTTGATTTTGATGCAGAATATTTAATTATTCAATTGAGTTTGGCAATCCCTGAAAATAATAACAAAATTTAAAATGCAAATGCAATAATTAATTTATTTATAGAAAATCTATTAAATATTAAGATGTAAAATTCAAGTAATTTCTATGCTTCTTTTCAGGCAAGCATTAACTTTAATATTAATTAGTTAATGTTGAAGGTTACTCTGAGGGTATAACATATTTTGAACTGAATCTATTTGTCATATTTGATATCTGTAATTTATGAAAGATTTTCGCATTTATAAATTTCTTTAACAACTCTTTAATGAAACAGATTTTACGAATGTGTAGTGTGAGAAGAATGAAATTGGGATTGTTTGTATTATTAATCATTAAATAATCATTGCTATTACTTCTGTTCTTTTATTATATTTCGCAATTCTTCAGATTGTTTTTTCCAATTTGGATCAAGAGGAGCTTTGCCCTATTTCTTTTATATTTGCTTCTCTTTTATTTAACCTTGTCGCATTAATTTTTATTAATCATTTGAGACTATTCTTGCTTATTTGGAATTGAATTCTTATCTTTTCTATTGAAAAACTTGTTTGCACACTTTAGTATGCTTTTCTAAAACATCTTATTTAAATTGTCTTCCACAACCCTCAGGACAAAGCACTAATTCTAGATCTTCAATTGGTTCAGCTTCCTCTAATTGTATTACCATATTGAATACCAAGTTATTATTGCACCTTTGTTTGATCAGCCACTGCTAATTTATTTTCAATTGGATTTTTTGACCCTAATAATGCTGCTTCTCGTTTATTCTGATTACCAATCGATGGCATATAGGAATCTGATTAAGTTTGTTTAACCTATTAAACTTCTTTTTTTTCATAAGTTTATTAGACTTCCTTCTTTTCAACTTAGATTTATTTCCTAAATAACTCCTCTTGTCCAGGTAAGTAAAGTCCTTGGTTGAGAGGAGCTGAATTTTTCTTTTCGTCTGATCGTTAGATTCTATCCTTAAGAGGTACTTTCTCTTGAAATGACCCTGTTTTAAAGAATTCATCTTTAGAGCTTGTTAACTAAGTTTCTTAATCTCCTGGTTGAGTGGAACGGTTGCGAATATTGAAAGATGGTTTGCTGGCAAAATTGGGCTTTGTGTTGATAGCAGAAGAATCTGATTTTTATGTGCTCCCTAAAGACAAAGCTTAATCTTATTTTTTAAACGACCCAGAGGTGCTATCCATCTTTAAATTGGGCTTATAATTCATTTTTTATTTTTTATTATATAGTTATAATACTTTAATAAAAAATAATGGTTTCTAAATTAATTCGACCTTAACTATTAATAAATAAATTCACTTAAGTCTTTTTTTAATAAAATGTTTATATTCAATTTTAGGTATGTATTGATAACAATATTGTATTTCAAATGTATTGGATAATATAATTCATATAAGAATGTTTTATTATCAACTCCAAATTGTTAATGTAATTAAATTCTAATTCTACAGGAATATATTTTTTGGTTAAATATGTGTAATATAGCTTTATGATTGGAGAATAATCTAGAAATAGACTAGAAATTTGCTATCAATAAATAAAGATAATTGATTCTAAAAGAATTATGTTATTTTATAAATCGAGTTAAACACTTATAAAGAGATAAAGATAAAAGCGAATCACACTAAGATATCTTTGAAATCAGTATATAGAAATTAATTGATGATAAAAATAAGTAAAATTACAAACAACAAACTTGAAGTTGATTGAAAATATTAAGTTTATTCAATGGAGAGGAAAAAATAAAATTAAATTAAATTAATATTATTATTATTATGATATTAGACGCTACATAGAGAACTGAGCCATATACTACGAGTTTCAGAGTGTCAAAGGAGTAACTTTGTTAAGTGGCTTATGCATGTCAAGAAAGGACATTCACAGAAGAGATAGATTAACTAGAAGAATTGGGAGGGCAAGAATTTCTAGAGGTTCATGATAGTTATATTTTAGATGGCTTTATGCTCCAATTATAAGGATGGATTGCAATTAAATGATGTGAGTTAGAGGGAACTGAATTTTGGACATAATCGTAAACCACTAATACTTCCTAAGTCTTATTTTCAATTATTATGGGGAGCTTTGGAAGACTTCACGATGCGAATCTTGTGTTTGGCAGCTTTGGTGAGTATTGCAGTAGATGTTGCAACGGCATCCTCAGATTACCGTGCTTATGCATGGATAGAGGGTAAAACTATTGAAATTTAAGAGTTTAGGCTTTGCAATTTTGGTAGCAGTCATAATATCAACAAATGCTAATGCAATAAATGATTATTAAAAGGAAAAATAGTTTCAGAAGTTAAATGCAGTGGCTGATGAGCGAAAAAGAGTTACAGTAATAAGGAATGGATAGAAATGTGATATTCATATGAGTGAAGTAATGGTTGGAGACATTGTGATGATATTTGAAGGAATGGAAATACCAGCTGATGGTCTGGTGCTTGAAGCCTCAGATCTCACAACTGATGAGTCAGCAATGACAGGAGAAACTGATCCTATAAAAAAGAACACATTAGACTTTTGCATTGCTAAAAGGAATCAAACCGACTCTGCAACAGCTGGCCATCATGAAGTTCCATCTCCTATTATGATGAGTGGCACAAGAGTTTTGACAGGAGAAGGTAAGATGGTTATTTTAGTGGTTGGAGATTTGTCATGTGCAGGCAAGATCAGTGCATTACTTCGTTAGGATGAACCAGAAGGTATTCCTAATATAATATCCAATTAGCCACTCCTTTATAAGTCAAATTAGCTGCTATTGCAGAAGATATAGGGAAATTTGGATTGTACAGTGCAATCATAATTGTTATTGTTATGTGCATTAGATTTGCAGTTGAAAAGTCACAAGTTGAATGGGAAAACAAGTATATTGTAGAGATAGTCAATTTCTTTATTATTGGAATCACAGTCATTGTGGTTGCCATTCCTGAAGGATTGCCTTTAGCAGTAACACTCTCTTTAGCTTATTCAACCAAATAGATGTTGAGAGATTAAAATCTTGTCAGAAAAATGGCAGCATGTGAAACTATGGGGGGAGCATCAATGATATGTTCTGATAAAACTGGAACTTTAACTTAGAATAAGATGACTCTAGTTAATATTTGGAATGACAATTTAATTGAATTGGAAACATATTAGACATGTATTTTGACTGACTATCTCCCTTAACAGTTAGCAGATATTTTTGTATAATCAGCCATTGTGAATTCAAGTGCAATGCTTAGACCAGAACCTAAAGGATCTAAGACTGAAATATCATTCTTAGAATTTATGGATAGATGTCAAAAGCCTTATGAAGAATTTAGAGATAAATATCCTATTGTAGTTAAATATCCATTTAGTAGTTAGAGAAAGAGAATGTCTATGATTTTAGATGTTGGAGGATAGCAAAGATTAGTATGCAAAGGAGCTTCAGAAATGGTATTAGCAGCATGTACTTAATATCATTCGAAATCTAATGGAGTCACAACAATCAATTCTAAGGTAATTGAAGATGCTATTGAAAATATGGCTAAGAAGGCTTTAAGAACAATATGCTTGGCATATAAAAATATTTCAAATGGTGCTGATTTAACGAATAAAGATGATAAAGGAGTATACTATATCGAATAAAATGATTTGATTCTATTAGCAGTCTTAGGCATTAAAGATATTATAAGATAAGAAGTGCCTAGAGCTATCCAATTATGCAAGAAAGCAGGAATCAAAGTCAGAATGGTTACTGGTGATAACATAACAACAGCAAGGGCCATAGCAAATGAATGTGGAATCATTACTAATCCTGAAGACAGTATTGTAATGGAAGGGCCTGAATTTGTTAGAAGAATTGGAGGAGTTGTTTGTAAGAATTGTCATCCAGAAAATTGTAATTGCGTTAGGGATAGTCAGACTGCTTAAAAGGAAGGCAAAAAGTTAAGGATTGACACAATAGCTAATCCTGAAGAATTCGATAGGATATATCCAAATCTTGATGTCTTAGCTCGGAGTAGACCAGAAGATAAATATGCTTTAGTAACAGGTTTGATTGAAAGAAATCATGTTGTAGCTGTAACTGGTGATGGAACAAACGATGCTCCAGCTCTAAAAAAAGCAGATGTCGGATTTGCAATGGGAGTCTCAGGTACTGAAGTAGCTAGAGAAGCTGCGGCTATCATTCTGTTGGATGACAATTTCAATTCAATAGTGAAAGCTGTTATGTGGGGTAGAAATGTGTATGATAACATAAAGAAGTTTCTGAGATTTTAATTGACTGCTAATCTAGTAAGTGTATCATTGACATTAATCGGGGCTGCAGTACTCAGATAGGAAGTTCTAAGACCAATTTAATTGCTATGGGTCAATTTAATTATGGACACATTAGGTTCATTGGCTTTGGCAACTGAACCTCCATCTGAGAAACTGTTGAATCGTAAACCTCATGATAGAAATGAATACATAATATCAAAGAAGATGTTTAAGTTTATTGTGGGAACAGCTCTCATTTAAGTGGGAGTTGTACTTGTGATAGTTTTTTTAGGTGACAAATTTCTACCTGAATATCAAGATGCCTATGATACAACTGTATTTAGTGGACCCAAGATAAGGTTTAAATATAGTAATCACAATTGTATTACTGATTTTGAATCATTAAAATAATTGGGATTAACTAAATTAAATGAAACATCATCAACTGACAATCCAGATGATTCAGATAAATGTTTAAAAACTAGATGTGTATGTCAAAATGATGAATGCTATGAAATATAATGTCCTCCTTGTCTTTATAATGAAGACTCCTGTTCAGTTGTGGCTAGTGGAAGATTAATGACAGTTCAAGGTGACTATGATTATTATATTATGTACAACATAGAACATGAAGGAAGTAGACATGTAATTATTATAATATAGTTTTTAGTTTACTTATGTGTTTAATGTATTTATCATGTTGTAATTGTTTAATTTCTTGAACAGTAGAAGGATAACTGATGAGATCAATTTCCTTGATAACATAACCAATCATTCTGCCTTCCTCATTATAGTTCCATTCATCTTCTGTATTTAAGTGTTGATGGTTACTTTTGGATCTGCAGCCATTGGATTATATGGTTGTTATGGTTTATAAATAAAACAATGGTTGATTGGAATTGGATTTGGTAGTATCTCCTTGTTAGGATGCCTTATCCTCAAGTTAATCCCTGAGGACAATTTTTGTAGTTAAATTGGATCGCAAAAGATTTTACCTGTCTAACAAGAAGTCAAAATCTCTTCATAAAAAGCTGAATAAACTCCTTATACACTTAACAAACATTATAACTCAATATCGAGAGATCCAGAACATTGAATATATATTATTTTAATTTATGAATCTACTCAAAAAAGCAACGACTGTTATTTGTTCTATTTAGGAACATTCAGAAGTTGATTAAAAGATTATCCATCTATGTCTTGACTCTAAGTGTTAGATTTCCAAAAAGGCATTGTGTGGTCTATATGTCTTGGCGATGAGCATTATGGTCATAAATCAATCAATCGATCTAATTTGGACACTCTAATTAAGAATGAATGGGATCGTGAAATCAAGCAATACAATTAGAAAAACAAAGAGTTGACAGATTCTATTTAGATGAGCAAAAATGCAATTTTGAACAAAGTTCGACTACTTCAAGACCAGATATCATAATATGCTAATTAGGAGATGTAGGAGAGTAAGGTAGGCATATTAAAGCGGAAATACATTGATTAACCTAATCTAACAGAAAAAGATTATGAATAATTAGCCAAAGATGTTTGTGATATTATCCATTACAATAATGGTGTACCCGACTTTAAACCAATCGATTATGAACCAAATGATCGATTTTAGGGTCTTTGCATAGAAGTTGATCTTTGAGGCTTCACTCTTTTGCAAAGATATCTCTCTTATTACAAAATCTAGTATTGTTCACTAAAGCTTTACAGAGCAAATACAGGATTTGTTATATTAGATTAATAGCATAACAAATTTGATTGAAAAACCATTGAGCTATTTGATGCAAAGTCGTCGAATCTTTCCAAATGATAGAAGTGAAACTTAATCTTTGCAAAGAATCGATTTCGATTAGTAGAGTGCAATCGGTACAATGAATCAATCACCCTTTTGCATTTAGAAATAAGTGAGATTCAATACTTTAGAAATGAAAGGGTTTACTAAAGTCTATGAAGAGTTATTCAATAAACCATTCACTTAAACACATATCGAATTGATAAAGCAAAGATGCACGGCTTAATCTTAAATATGCATAGGTGGAGTCAGTGTAAATGATCCGGATTAATTTATATTATGTGCAACTGATTACGCATCAGAGTTTTACACTGAAACCTAAGACTTAAAGCTGGCCAGGAGGAGTCGTAATGGTGAAATATATTGGTATTATTTCCGGAATCGCTGTATTGGTTTTAGTCCTATGAGTAAGGTGGATTTAAGATATCCAGATGTGGATAATGAAGAGGGTGATTTACGGTTCTCTTTGTGGTTGTTTCATGGATAGGGTGGGTATAGAATTGGAAGATTAGAGAGTTTAGAATAAAGTGTTGAATATAAATGTGTGATTTATTTAAAGAAATGATATTATATTAAAATATAAATGAAAAACTATGTAAGTTGAATGTGTAGCAAGACTGTATTCTGGAATTTGGCAAAATGAGTTTTTCTCTAATAAGATTGACATAAATAACAGTTAATATTTTAATTTTTGAATTTATTTTACAGAAATGCTAAGTATGATTATTGGTATATGAAAGCACAAAATTTCTATGATTTAAGAGGAGGCGATAAGTTGAGTAGCAATAATAGATAATTGGAGAGGTATGAGAAATTGGAGAAAATAGGAGAAGGTATTGTGTAATTCAAATGCGCTTAGGAACATATGGTGTTGTTTATAAGGCTCGTGATTCAGTGACTAAAGAATTGGTGGCTCTTAAGAAAATCAAGTTAGAGAATGAAGATGAGGGTGTTCCCTCCACTGCTATGAGAGAGATCTCAATTTTGAAAGAACTTCAACCTCATCCAAATATAGTGGGTTTGAAAGAAGTCATTTATTAGCCTAATGAGAAGAAACTCTATTTAGTTTTTGAATATGTTGAGATGGATTTTAAAAAATTCCTTGATTAAAATAAACACAATCTCACAATTAGTTAAATCAAAGTATGTATATCAACACTTATTATTAATAGCATTTCACCTTCCAAATCTTGAACGGTCTAAATTATTGTCATTCTAGACGAATCATTCACAGAGATCTAAAACCATAGAATATTTTGATTGACAAATCAACAGGGATCATCAAATTAGCAGACTTTGGTTTGGCAAGAGCATTCGGAGTTCCAATTAAAACTCTGACTCATGAAGTCGAGACTCTCTGGTATAGAGCTCCTGAGATCTTATTATCCTAAAAACAATACTCTTTGGGAGTTGATATCTGGTCTGTCGGATGCATTCTCACAGAAATGGTTGAAAAACATGGACTGTTTTGTGGTGATAGTGAAATCGATTAGATCTTTAAAATTTTCTAATATCATGGAACCCCAACAGTGTAGGATTGGCCAAACATAGCCGATCTACCTGACTTCAAACCCACTTTCCCTCGTTTCAGAGCAACACCGCCAGAATAGTTCTTCAAGAACTTTGATAAGGTAGGGGTATTGTATTAAGGGATAGGTTGGCTTAGATTTGGTTACAAAAATGATTGCTTTGGATCCAGCTAAACGAATCTATGTTAAGGAGGCTATGAAGCATCCATTCTTTGATGACTTAAACAAGGAAGACATCGTCAAGTATTTCCCTCCAGGATAACAAAACTTGGCTATGCAGTATGGAAAATGAATTAATTAAATAATATAAATATGGCAGATACGATTATAAATTTCACGGAATTGCAAAATGAATATAGAGATATGGCCTAAATGATCATCCAAAACTTTGAGTCTACATGCTTTGATCAGAGAATGGAGGCATTTCTTTAAGGGATGCTAAATAAGGATTGGGTGTAGGCGATGACTAATAGTCATACTCTAAAGGGTTCTGCAGGGTAAAAGTTAAATTACTACCCAGTTACATCAAGGCTGGCCCATTTATAGATACTATCAAGATTTTTTAGTAGTTTGTCAAAGATCATTGCATACTTATTCAATATCCTGATAGCCAACCTCCTACTGTTGACAGGCCACAATACCGCTTGAAAGATGAATTTGATGATGAAAAAAAGATGTAGGCCTACGAATATTTCCATCCCATAATCGAATAAGCACGATTACTCAAATTTGAAATGTCTAAATACTCTGGCTCAGTTGTTGCAGATAATATCTTTCTGGCTGAAGGTATGGGGTTTATGTCATATTTCAAGGAGAGAAGATTAAGAAAATGCATGAGGAACTAAGACAACAACAGTTAGAGGCTCAACAACTGATAGATGATCAAAGAAGACAATAAAAAAAGAGCCAAGGAACCATTTAAACTTAATAAAAAATCGATTCCGGAGTTCCAGATACAGCCTCTTAAAAGGCATTAAAGGATTCTGTCTTACACGTTGTTGTTATTGATCAACCATAAAGTGGAAACTGCTAATGTTGTGATAAATGTGCTATTTTCTGATTTTTGATTTTAATTGGTTTGTTCTTTTGTATTTTTAAATATGCAAATTTTGAGTGTATGACAAAAAACTTCCCCATTCTGAGTTCATACATCCAAGGGAATCACCAAAAAAACAATAGCCAAATGAAACACTCTAGATAACTCATTCCCTTTAAAATTCCGATATATTATTTCTTATAAATAAAAGTTTAATCCATAAATTAAATATAAATTCTTTATAAATTATTCTCAACAACTTTATTTCAAATTGCTATTTGATCATCAGATTATTATTCCATTTCAATGATAAAAATAATAATAAAAATATCTAATTATTTACAAATTTACTTTTTTATATTAGTGATAAAATCAATAATCTCAAACTCATTTATCAAATTATTATTGTGATTCTAATTTTGTATCTCTAATAATGGACCAAGAAACACCGATAAATCATAAATTAGACTGTGAAAGACCTAAATTATATCAATACAGATGGATCATTGTGTTTTTTTATATCATAGCCGTTTTCGTAAACAATATCCCTGGAGAAATTTATGTTTCCGTTTCTAATGAGCTTATAGCAATTTATGACACTTCAGAGACTTTAGTGACTATGGCAGCTACAAGCTATATGATTATGCATCCAATTTTATCGATTCCTTGTTCTTAATGTACATAATCCTGTTTAATAGATCAGTCATTGTAATTTATGGATGGGCAACAGCCTCAAAAATTGGAGTAATTTTAACAATTCTTGGAAGCTTATTAAAACTATTCGTTAATTAAACAGAGTATCGTTTACATACTAGATAGTTTTTATTTAATTGTGATTGGTTAAACTTTAATAGGAGCTGGAAAACCATTCATTCTGAATTGTTAGGCCACAATGGCTTAAAATTGGTTTTATCCCGAAGCAAGGCCCATCATAATAACGGTGATGAATGTGCTAAATCTTTTCTCTAGTGTGCTTACGTTTATGATACCGGGTAAGTTTATATTTTCGGGTTATAAATACGATGGATCAAATGAATCAATAGAAAAAGGAATGGAATTAGTGAATAAACTCAATAGGACATTGTTCTACTTTGCAATCGCACTGTTGCCATGCCTCTTGACTTTAAAGAATAACCCTCCAACACCACCTTCAGAGTTGGTTAAATAAGAAGAAAAATCCAAAAATATAAAAAGGACACTTATCAAAATTTTTACTAACAAGCAATTTCTGTTTTGTTTTTAGGCCTATGCTCTTTTTATGGGATTGACAAAATCATTGATGATTGTTTTAGCCTTTCTTTTAAAAGCTTGCGGTTAGGGCAAGGAACAAGTCTCTGTAGCAGGTTCGATTGTGAACATCAGTGCAGTCGCATCTTTAGCATTGTTAGCTGGAATATTAAAGAAATATACAAATAGAAGAAAACAAATAGCAATTTTAATGATGATACTCTCAATTTCATCTTTGGTTTTATTTTATTTTTGTCTTATCAGTGAGGATAAAATAGCAATTTACATCTCGATAGGCATAGTAGGACTGTTTATTATGCCAAATGTCCCATTATTAATGGATATGAGTTGCGATTCTATATTTCCGATAAATGCAAGTTTTGCAGTTGGGATAATGTATATAGGATCACGAATATTCTTAGTATTTTTTTCATAATTTTTGGCTGTTGTAGTAGGTGGTTCTGATAGCAACAAAGGTAGAGTCACACTCACATTTTCTATTGAAGTGATTGTGCTGTTATGTTCAGTTACGATTTTCAGTTTTACAAATATTAAACTAAAAACAGCAGTAATGGAAGCTGATTTATTAGATGGTGAATCTAATCAAAAGATTTCTTTTTGTGAAAATGCCACTTAGACTCCAATTATGGAATCGACATAAGAGACTCCTCAAATGAATGTGTAAAAAAGATCTATATTAGAATTAAATTAGAAATCTTGAATTAATAAGGAAACATATTTTAAATTAAATTATCATGGTTTTTAGAGATAGGCTATGACAATTGAAATATCGTCTACAACTTCATCTTCTTGATGCCATCTTTGAGTGGAGAGTTTTACAATATGATCGCATATCTCATCTATTCTTTTAGCTGTCATATTGGGTTGCCAATGTGAAATTACAATCTTTTAGATTTCCTCATTTGAAAAGAATTCCCACACTCCATCACTTGCTACAACTAAGAATGCGCAATTGGCATTCATTTTGTAATGAATGATTTCTGGTTCACAACTCACTCCAACAGTTGATGCCACATAATCTCCAAAGGATCTACTCATGGCCAATCCTGGAATCTGTTCATGCAATAACCAGACTCTAGGTGGACCGATCATCTCTCCATTCTCACTGATAAATGGTTCAACCCTTCCTTTTGATGAGATGATTCTTTTGTATTCATTAGGTAGATCTGGTTTATGATCATTACTCAACTCGATGGTTTTCCATTTTTAATTATTCTATTACTGAATTAAAATCTAAAGAATATTATATATCAAGTTTACTGATCTTGAGTCTCCTATGTTGGCACACCATAAATGAGGTCCAGAAACTAAGACCAGAGAGCAAGTTGTTCCACTAAATGTAATGTCAATTCCACTGTTGGATAAATCCTTTTGCATTTTCGAAAAGCCTAAATTCATGGCCTTTGATATGTCAGTGAAATGATTTTCGCCTATGTCTTTCTCTTACATTCCAACATTCGACTTAATTTGTTAATCTATGATATTTGGTAACAACTTCTTAACTAATTATGACACATAATGTCCATAGACACCATGGCCATCACAAACTGAAAATATGTATCTATTTTTAATTCCTCCCAAATTGTTAGTAGCAATCACACTGTCTTAATTGGTTTTAGTTTAGCCTGACCCATTTTATCCAGCTTGGGATCTTATATTCATACACAATACTTAGAGTAGAACAAAGTGACGTAATCTTGCATTTCATTGTCAGCCACAATAGTGTTTACTAAGCCTGCTTGACTGGTTGATCGCCCATATAGCATCATCATTTAATTAGTAGGTTTTGGCTTAATGTCTTGATCGACGGTTTGGGATGCCAATTTGGCCCTTGAAACAGAGGGTCTAGAATTGGGAGTGACGTCTGAGATCAATTTTATTATTGATCCTCTAATTAATTACTAGATTGCTTAGATAACTGATTACTGAAGGGGTTCCATCGGTTTTTGTATCCTTTCTTTTTGAACTTTGCATCTCTTACAGAGTTTCATCTTTGATTAGTAAATTGTTATTTATTTGAGTATCTGCTCGACGAAGATTCGGTAGTTTCATTGGAGATAATGCCTAGGTATAGAGTAGAAATACTTCAACGTTGGTTGCTCCACTGATTACTCTCTTCTTTGGGGATGAACTTGTTGACTATTGTGGTCTTTATTATTGGGTCTATGAAAATCGTATTATTAGCTACAAATTAGAATTTGTCTTCCTGCTTGGGATTTACAGTGAGTCGTTTCACATTAAATTTGCCCTTAATTGGCGATTGCCCGTTTCTTCAATCAAATTTGAATTTTTACAATACGGGAGACATGTTTAAAAGCAACGGTTTTTCAAATAGTTTTGGAGTCTGCTTCTTCTTTAACTATGGCGAACTCGAAGTGCTTTGAGTATTTTGTTATTCATTGAATTTCAATGGAAATACTCTGACCGGATTCATTATATAAATTATATATAATTAGTTATGTAATTTTCATTATTTCTTTTGGTACCAAGTTGGGTATAATTTGGGTGCGATTTCAGGTTGAATTGAGAGTTCCTCTATAAATAATACTCACTCATTAATTACCCTTAGTAAAATCAAAGAAATCTGGTAAAGTCTAATTGGGAATGCCAAACCCTGCTTGTCTTATGTCATTAAAGAAAGGATGTGCCAAGGCTTCTAACGGTCTCAATCTCTCTTTAGGAGGATACACCATCAACTTAGAAATTAGATCGATAAACAAGGCGTCTGGTTTGAATTTAGCAAACACCTAGAGTGCCATTAACAATTATCCAGTACCTTCTGCCAGGGGTGGCATTTGATGAGGGGAAACTTGAAATCTTTGTGTTAAGGATTCATCATTTTGACTTGTTCTTACGTTGGAGTTCCCAATATTTTAATAATCTCAACTAACTGATCTGTTGCACTTTCTCCTGGAAAGAGAGGCTCTCCAATAAGCATCTCTGCAATTACACAACCGATGGACCAAACATCGATTGCTGTACTGTATTCAGTAGCTCCATAAATTAATTCAGGGGCTCTATAATAACGAGAACAAATGTAGGCCACATTGGGTTCCCCCTTTTAGAGTTTCTTCGCAGATCCGAAATCGCATATCTTAAGTACGTGAGTTGCTGGATCAACCAATATATTTTATGGTTTGATATCCCTATGGCAAATACCGATTCCTATTTTTAAACTAGTGATGTTACCTTCCATATATGCTAGAGCTCTGAACATCTGATATCCATAAACTTTTAATAAGACATTGGGAAATTGCTATTTGGCTTTTCTGTAATATCTAACTACTTTGCTTAATGTATCAGGTATATAATCCATAACCAAATTCAAATAAACATCGTCCCCCTAATAATCAAATGCATATGTACTTTATCTCCTTAAGTGAAAAAGGCTTCCTTTAACTTGATTACACATGGATGATTGAGTTCTTAAATGATCAAATGCTCCCTGTTTTTGTATCTCTTATCCTGAAACACTTTCTTGATGGCTACTTTTTCTCCTGTTACTGAATTGGTGGCCTAAGGCGATGAATAATGTGTCATACTAAATAAACCATTCCGAATGTGCCATTTCCAACAATTTGGTTAAGAGTATATTTTTGGGCTTATTCAGATCTCTAAAATATAGATAGCATAACAAACCTATTGCTGTTGATTTTCATCATTGGCCAATGTCGCAACGCGTGTGCTTGGTTTTGTCGGCTGTTATTATTAAGCTTTCTTTAACATAATTATTTATATTATCACAAATTCAAATACTAAGAAACTAAAAATTACAAACTTGAATCGCACATGTATTTGTTTAGAACATATTAATAATTATTATTTTATAATCGTACTTCAAATGTCAAATAATGCAGTTAGTGATATTGAAATTTAGAAACAAGCCCAGTAGCAATAAAATAATATACTTGCCATCTTGAAGTCTGGCAACGCAACCGTTGTCAATGAAAAATTGTAGAGATGTCGAGATTTCAAGGAGGGCAAAGACATTCCAGTCCCTTTCTGTTACAAAGGTATACCAACTTCTACATTATCACTAGAAAACTCTCCCAAAGAAGAATTAGTATTGGAGCATGTGCAATAATTTTAAAAACAGTTTCAATTACATTACGATGAAAGAAGAAATCTTTTTCTCTATCCCAAAAACGAATGCGATCTCTATAAATTTATCTGCACAACCTTGCGTCCCCAAAAAATTGGCTATCTAGAACTCTACAATTATGAATAATGTGCAAGATATATGAGCTTTTTCATTGCTTATGAATAATTGGATCCTCCTGATCAATTTCCCAAGGTTATTCCCAGTCCAACCAATGTGGCTAGGTGGCAGAAAGGTGATTGCTTTGATTTAGCCATGCTCCTATGCAGTGTTTTGATAGGAGTTGGCTATGATGCGTATTGCGTTTATGGAACTGCTCCTAGATCAATAACTAGTAAAAATGAATCAGATCTTGAATACATCTTCATCAACAATGGAATCAAAGAGGATGATTAAGACAAAGATAAAGACAATGATGAACTCAAAGATAATGAATTTGCCATCCTTCCAAAAGAGGAAATTGTCTCTAAATATGACACCAAAATATAGAAGTAAAAGGAAGAGTTTGAAAAAGAATAAAAAAGAATAGCTCTCACCATTGATGATGATGAACCTGATCAAATGGGAGCAGATTACTATGCTGGAAAGAGAATTCATTGTTGGATTCTCTTGAAAGCAGGGAAAAGAGGAGTTGAAAGAAATCTCTTTATTGAACCTGCAACTGGAAGGATCTATTAAATCAATGAAAGTCCATTTTTAACTGTAGATGCAGTTTTTAACAATAAGAACTTTTGGATTAACATGAAACTTGAATCTAAAGTTGCAGATTTAAATTTCGATGAAATGGATACCTCCATGAATTGGGAATACGTCATGTTAGATACTCTCGTTGAATAGAGTTAATAAGATGACGAAGATTACAATTACGGTGAAGATCATAATCAATAATAAAAATAAGTCGATCCTTAATAATAATAACTATAAGATATTGCTCAGATCTTGGATATGCCACCTCCTTGGCCTCCTAAACTGTTTATTGATAAAGAGTCCTTTCTCAAAGGAACTCCTCTGGGAGAGTCTACAGTCTTTTATAAGAAATGTAAAATAGATTCCTATGCTCCCTATTCGCAAGAAAAGGATGGGTTAGTTTAGAGATTCACTATTTATCAGGATTATAAAAGATTGAAAGTCCATGAAATTAGATACTTTTACAAACATAGATCTGACAAATTAGTATTGAAAAGAAGATTCCCCTATGAATTTAAGACCATTGAAGAGTATGAACCAGGAAATAAACCTCAAAGAAAGACTATTACTACGATAGACAGATAATTAAGGATCATTTTATATTATCCAACAAGAAATCATGATGGTTTGATAAAAAGAATTGAAAAAATTGGTGAAAAAACAATAGAAGAATACGAGAATAGAGATGATAGAGTTATCTATAGATCTGTTAGATTTGATGCTAAGGATAAGAAATTTGAATAAAGAGATTTAATCCATAATGATAGATATATGGGATAAGTCAAAATCACTAAAATGACATAAAAATATGAATTAAGCGAATTGTACCCAGCAAGTGAGTAACCATAAAAGGTCGTCATAGATTTGGTTAAGAATGTTATTAGGTAATAATAATCATTATGATTTTAGAGTCTATTATCATATGAATAAAGGAGAAATCAATCCATAAGTCAAAGAGTTAAAGAGGGAGAATATGCATGGACTAGGAAAGTTAAATGAAACCGGGGTTGAGAAAAAAAATGAAGATGCTTTGGTTTCTTAAGAGAATCAAAGAATAGCAAATTTAGGTATATGTAGTTTCATTGTTAGAAAAGGAATGTTTAACACACATTAAAAATCAAGAAGACGAGGTAAAGAAGGATGAAGAGCAATTGAGATCTCAAGATCTAAGACTTGAAAAAACACTCCATGACAAAGCTAGAGAAAGATATAAAGAAACATTAAAGAAGTCTGAAGAAGAAAAATAAAGGGAATAAGCTGATAAAGATTACCTATTTCCTTATTTGGAAAAGAGAAAGTTATTAGGAAAGGAAGTACTTTCTTACAACGAGGCTTTGGATATCTAAAAAGATGTTATGACGAAATTGAAGGAGCGGTTTTATTTTACATTTTACTTTTAGTTTACTCTCTAGAGCAGCCATTATCCAAAAAAAACTAGAGGAAGAAAGAGCTAAATTAGATCAAGCTGAATAAATGTAGTAGAAAAAGGCAGATCCTGATGATAATGAATATATCAATATACAATTTAGAATTGATATTTTGGAGTAAAGAGCTATTAGATTTGAATCCTAAGCGCTTCTTAAATATGAGGAAATGGATAGAAAACTAAAAGAAGATAAAAGACTGTCTGAACTAAAGAAGAAATGAAAAATTATATTGACATTTTTATAAAGCGAGAATAAATAAAAATTACTATTATAAATTAATTATGGGAAACCTAATTCAACAATTTTCAAATAAATTATTATCAAAGTCAATGCTTTATTTCTTATCGTTTTTCTTAATTTGTTTTTAATTTTATACAACCTTGACTTTTTGCTATTATTGATCGTCAGAATTATCATCTGAATCATATCCTGTTTTTATTACTTTATTGACTTTCTTGGTTTATTGATTTTATTTCTATTAAACTGCTTATTACTATTATTTTTGACTATGTGATTATTATTATTATTAATGTTATTACTATTATTATTATTATTATTATTATTATTATTACTATTATTGTTATTATTATTATTTACTTTACTTAGTTTACTTCTATTTTTCATCATTTTATTTTTGTTATCCAACATTTTATGCTTATTTATCTATTTTGGCTTTATCTACAATTTGTTATTAGGTATTATTTATTTGATCTTCATTAGGTTAAGCGAGTTTAGGATGTTTTTTGGTTCCAAAATTATTATCTTCTTCAAGATCCTATTTTTATTATGGTAAAACCTTTATTTATTAATTTTCTTAGACTTTTTATTATGCTTAAGATTATGTTTGATTTTGTTATTTTTCTTTTTTTGTTGCCTCTTTTTAATTCTATACTGCAATTACTTCAGAGTTTTAAGCATTTTCTTTTTCTTTTTACTCTTTGCTTTTGTCTCTGTTTTAATTGGCAGGCTCCTTAGTCTCTTTTTTACTTTATGGCTCAATTTATTGCTAATTTTCTTTCACATTAGTTTATTCATGTTATGGGATTTCCTCTTAGATTTAATTTTTTTAATCTTTGCTTGATTAATTTTCCTTATTTTTTGTGTCTTTATTTTCTTTTGTATTATCTTATTGCAATTATTCTTGAGCATTCTATGCTTGTTACTTTGATTTCTCTTCTTCTTATTTGTTTTTGTTTTATTATTTTTATTATTTCTTAGTCAATTATTCCTTTTCTTTTTGTTATTGTAACTATTTTTGATTTTAATTATTTTGGGGTATTTTATTTGTTTATTTATCATCTTGTGATTATTGTTACTATGGTAAAGTTCTAGGCGGGGAAATGTCTGGTAAATTTTCTACTAATTTGTTTTGCTCCTTTTATTATTTATTTCTTCTTTTTGATCCTTCATTTTATTCAATTTTAACTTGTGATTTTTTTTTTGGTTCTATAATTTCGCAAGTGATAAAAGTTTGATCATCAAGGACATGTCCAATTTACATTTGTTTAGGAATCACAACCAAATAGCCATTTTATTTAATATTTTTCACTTAGAATTATTATATCTCTTCAGCATCAGGATCTTCTCTTTAAGTGTATACAAACGAATTAGCAATCTGCACTTCTAGATTCTAATTGATAATCTACTAAATTACTTATTAAGTGCGATCTACTGTAGCAATGAATTGTTTGTGTCCTGTATTAACGAAAAGACGAATAAATTGTCTTTGTGGAGCTTCAGGTGGTTTATTCAAAAATAAATCCATTAATTAAAATCAATAATTTTATGATTATAATAATCTTTGTATACACTCTTCTATTGTTGAACACTGCAGGTAGACTTAGTTTTGGAAATGCAATTTGTGGTGCTGGAGCCAATTCAGCTGTTTCTCACATTTGATAAAATAGTCAGCCATAAAGATTAATTCCTTATCTTTTTTGTTTTCCTCAAAGGGTATGATTGGAATTCCATTCTCCAACTAATAAATGTAACAATATGCAGAATTATCTATAATTGCCATGTTCTAATGATTTACATATAATTTACTTCTAATTTTCTGCCTTCGATCACTCTTAGATCCTTAACCAGAAGTCCTTCTTCTAATTCTAAACAACTCTCCCTATAGAACCGATATGAGAAGAGATTCCCTTTTGGATCTATGTACTCCAAAATTTTATCAGCATATTCTTTATAAGATGCCGTGAATAGGATCAACTCATAAAATTATGATAGAGCTTTTAACATTTATTAGCAATGCGGCCTTATATTAAAACGAATCTACTCTTATTTAAATCAGTATACTTCTGTCTCTGGTTCATTTGGGATATGAATGATGGTTTTGTGATCGGTAGGATTATTATTGATATCGTTGCAGTGAATTAATGTTTCATCCAGATCAAACACTAGTGTTTTAACGGTATCAGATGAAAAGTGAGGCTTTTTTGGGGGATTTAAAAACTTTTGGGTCATAGGCTTCTGTGAACTCAACTAGGAGCAATGTTTTAAAGAGTTAAAGGTTAAATTAAAGTGATCACAGAATTTAGTTTTAAAATAGTCCTTTTATTCTTGAAATTCAATTTTAAATTGCACTTAATATGGGGATGTATTTGGAAAAAACTCTTCCTTCAAGAAATGAACAACAGATGTTTAATAGTATTTTGCTTCTTTAAAGATCGGCCTAATCACAGTCTAATATAAGATAAAGATTACTAAAATAGCTTATAACTTTCCATTTTAATTATCACTCTAATAGCTAGAAGGAGAATGACCTCGTGTTGTATTAGCAGTCTTTGCAATTTGAGTAGAAGGAGAGAATGATTATCTGGATGGGATTTATCTAGTAGACATAAGTTGTGGATGTTTCTCAAGTTATGGTTTAGTGTTTGTGTCTTTCTTTGGATTGGCTTTCTTCAATGGCATTTTTTGAATATTCTTTTATTCATCTTTAAACTTTTCATTTTATTAGGTTTTTATTCGTTAATCCAATTTGTTTACATCAAGGTGTTTAGAGTTAAATTTTGATTTTTCTTAAGTGACCTTCTATTAAGTAATTAAGGCTTGATTTTTAATTGTCAATCTCTAAGATTATGTCATATTTGACTGATTCTACTTTTTGGTTGGAGTTATTTCTTTTGGGTATTTGAATTAAGAAGATGTTCTATTCTTTGGTTAATCAAATTCAACTACAATTGACTAGCTTTTGGTGGGTCTATTAGTGTTTGGTACTTTCGAGGGTTAATTCAAATTTTTCTATTTAAATGTTTTTAGAATATCCGAGTATTTTGTTGTAGGGCTAATATTGCCATTTTAAATTCTAATCATTTCTGGAGTATTGGCTTTGTTATCAATTCTATTCTGAATATAATAAATAAGGATTACTGTGCTTTATTCATAATTTTATTTTCAGCAGATTGGCCGCGGTAGACTTTTTTAGAACACTCCTCCTGTTTGGGCTACTATTGTTAGGTAAGCCTAGGCTTGCCTATCAAACTGGGAATAAACCTTTATGTATTTAATTTCATAATTTTTTTATTTTATTATGTCTAATCGATTTAACTCTCTCATTAGTTCTATTGATGAACTTGGCTTTTTCAAGGACACCTTATCCGCTCTTTCGTTTTTGCTCCATTTATGTTTCTAACTTCTCCTTGGTTGTATATTGCTTCCAATCTAATTTAGATTTAGTCACAGAATTGATAGTCTTGGCTTTGTTGGTCAATTTCTTGATTACTTCTCTGTAATATCGGAAACTCTCCCTCAACTCTTTCATAGACATTGCTAATTATAGGTTATGGAATACAATTTCCGATAGGTTATTTGATTTATTTGGTTTATACAGGTTCTATGTTTTCTTCTTATATTTCCCCTTTATCATTAATTAAAAATGATTTTCCCGCAAACTTGACACGTTTCACTTACACTCGATTCTGTTCTTTCAATATATTTATTCAATACCATCGAGTACTTCTCTTACAATTTATTAGGCAGTCTTGGTGCAAACCTTAGGCTAATACAAATCAATTTTTTTCATCTCCTAATAGATTTCATCGATGTTGAATGTTTTATGATGACTCAGGTTTTTGTTATTCTCGGAAATGTCCTATTCATCTGGTACATACTCCTAATCATCATCGCTTTCAATATCGATCCCGTAAAGTTTGATTTTTTTTTTAGACATATAAAAATTATACTCTTGTGATAATTATTGAGAAGAATTTTATATTTATATTAAGAATAACTTGGCAGTTCTAATCAATAAAAATAGATTTTCTATTAGTGTTTAATTGATCGAGAACTAAAGAAAAAAAACTAAAATATAAATATATAGATAAATAAATATGATAGCATTCTTATTGTTGCTTGGAGTTTAAGGTTAATATCTTCCCACAAGTACTGGCTGTTAGGGAACAGATTATTTATACAAAGTTGGAGAACTATCTTTCTGTTTTACTTGTTAAAAAGGATGTAAAAGCTGTTGTGATCCATTATTGTGTAATGAATGTGAAGACAGATACAGATTTAATTCAACCACTTCCACTTGCATAAGATGTCCAGTACTTAAAGATTTCATATTAAGGTTAACTGTGAAGTATGTGAACCTGATGGCTTATTTTCTAAATGTTCAAAATGTGAAACAGGATATATCAAATAAGAAGATGGTAGTTGTAAGAAATGTGGAGATGATTGTGTGTCTTGTTCTTTGGCAGATTATTGCTCATAGTGTGCAGATGCTTTCTATGTAGAAAAAGGAAGTAATAAAAAATAATTATGAATTTGTATAGTTTGTAAGGATTGTGAATATGGATGTAAAAGTTGCACCAAGGTTGAAGAATCAGTATTTGTTTGTGATACATGCATTGATAGATATTATCTAGTTGGAGAAAAGTGTACAAAATGTCCCACTGGATGTCTAAAATGTGATGACGATTTTACCTGTACTAGTTGTGAAGAAGCTTATGTCTTGAAGGAAACTAAACTATGTGAATTTTGTACTCCAAATTGCAAGAAATGTTCTGAGAATACGTGTACCGAATGTTAAACTGGTTATGTCTTAACGACTGACAATTAATGTCTAGGTTGTCCAGATATCAATTGCGAAAGTTGTCAATAAAATGATAGAACTAAATGTACTAAATGTGCCTCTAAGTTTTATTTACTTAATTAAACCTGCATTGCTTGTGATATCAATTGTAAATAATGTGATACTCCAGGACATTGTGTTGAATGTAAACCAGGATACTTTATTAAAAATGGAGTTTGCTCTGCCAATTCTATCAAAAATTGTTAAGTATAAAATGAAACTGCATGTCTTACTTGTGAAAGTGGCTATTATATTAAAAATGGTGCATGTAGTCCTTGCGGTGATAATTGTTTATCATGCACGGGACCTTCATTTTGTAATTAGTGTGCTACTGCTTATTTTTTCAATGGATTCTCGTGTCAAGGATGTGGTACTGGTTGTGAAAAATGCGTGGATTCAAACATATGTCTTAAATGCACTTATGGGTATATAGTATTTATATGTTCAATTAGTTTTTATGTATCAAAGGGGGTTTGTGAAAGATGCATAGATGGAGTTTGTTAATGTTAAATTAAAGAAACTATGATAGAGAATTAGAGCCATTAAATCATAGTTCTGATGTTGTTATTATTATTGATATTGTAATGAATTTTTGTATAATAATTATTCTATTTAAGATAGATCATTTTACACTTTTTTGTTTGCTTTTTCAGATGTTTTTCAAAGGAATGCTTAAAAGGTCTTAATCACTGTATTTATTGTTGTTGAATTCACTCAAATTCCAAATTGAAATTTTTGATATTATTCTATATACAGCAGTGAAGCAATGCGGCAATTTATGAATCAAATAAATTTTATTATAATTAAAATCTTAATAATTAGAGATGGCGGATGCAGCGTAAATCTACGGTCAAAAGAAGTATTTATATAGACAAGATGGATTATTCATTCGATTTAATGATAATGATAAAGAATTGATTATAAGATCTTTAAATGGATCAATTGATGTATAATTGAGGTAAAAGTTTTAAGATGTCAACCCATAATCATCAGATTGCTTAGAATTTAATGCAATTTATGGGATAGTAACATTGAAATAGTTGAATTATTTAGTTGTCGTTGTAAAGGCTGCTTTCATTAGTTCAATAATGAATTTACCAATATTTTAGGCCGAGAAATTCTAATTCATTCCTATCGAAGATAAAAAGTAATATGAAATTAATAAAATCAAGAATAAGTTCTAGAGATGCCTCTTACATAGCTGGTCTACAGGAGATTTTTAATACCAAAACTTTTTATTATTCAGAATAGTATGATCTTACAAACTCGTTGCAGAGATATGTAGAAAATAAAGGAATTCGTAAGCCATTATCTCAGTATTGGATGAACAGTGAAAATTGCAAACCTTTTCGTTTATGCAATCCAGAACAATGGATACCCATATTTATTTCAGGTCTCATTGCAATCCGATATTTTAAATTGAATGATACGGATTGTTAGATATGCTTAATTAGTCGAAGAGATAAGAGAAGAATGGGTAGAAGATTCATCAGCAGAGGAGCAGATCTGGACGGAAATTGTAGTAATTTTGCAGAGACTGAATAAATATTCAGATATTAATCAAACTATTATTCATTTTTATAATCAAGAGGGTCCATGCCTTTTAAATGGATTTAGAAACCAGATTTAAAATGGTCACCAAAAGCTAAGATCTTAGGAGATATCACCACTAACACTGAAATAGCTTAAAAGCATTTTTCTGATTAGTTCCAGTTAGGAATTCAAAAACATATTCTTGTTAACTTAATAGATAAAAAAGGAACGTAGAATGTCTTAGGAAATTACTATAATGAAGTGATTAATCGATTGAAAAATGACAATTTAAAGTACATTTGGTTTGATTTTCATCATGAATGCAGAGGAATGAAATATTAGAATTTATCAAAACTCATAAATATGATGGCATAGGATTTAAAACTAGAAGATTAATGTAGTTTTGATCTCAAATCAGGAACTTCTTAACTAAATATAATCAATGTGATGACAACTTAGAAATCCATTATCAGAACTAACTGCGTTGATTGTTTGGATAGAACTAATGTAGTTCAATCTGTTATTGCTAGACATTAACTTTGGAATACATTATAAAAATTAGGAGTGCGAAGAAACACTGTAAAATATTCATTCATACTTTAATAGAACTTAGCAATGGAACCCTTCCCTGATAAATTAGAATAGATATTTAGAGATATTTGGACATTGAATGCAGATACTGTTTCTTTGATGTATACTGGAACAGGAGCTTTGAAGACAGATTCAACAAAAAAAGGCAAGAGAACATTTTTAGGTGCTTTGGAAGACGGCAGGAGATCTGTAATTAGATATTTCATTGGAAACTTTCATGATGGAGGAATTCAAAATAATATAGATCTTTTGACAAACAAGATAGATTTAAAAAAACATGATTATAAAAACAAGTTCTTCACAGGATGGCATTGTCTGTTATTAATCGTAATTATTTATTTTTATCTTAGTTTGCTTCTGCTCATTTTGGATTATGGAAGTTGAGTGGATTTGTTTTAGAGCATCCAACGGCCAATTAATTATTGGGAATTCAAAAAAAACATGATAACAACGATTAACTCAAGATGACAATAGCTCATTTTGCCTTAGTAGCAACTGGAATGTTCATTATCAGAACACTTATATTCAGCAAATATAAACTGTTTGTTAGAGAAGCCAAGCTAAACCATTGATTGATTACGTATGAAAACATATAAAATTGATTAAATTTAAGTCATTATTTATTACTATAATGAGATTATCTCTTTAATTAATCTCTGTATAATTATAGTTCCTATTCCTTGTGATTTAACAATTAATTTAATCTATTGCATTCATTTTAAAACAACGAAACTTTGCTTTCTAAATCCTTCAGGTTTTAATTAGCATACTATGATTGACTTTATCTTCTTAAGATATCTAATTCTTTGTTTCGATCATCAATGATTTTCTTAAGACTTATCAAAATTGAAATTGAATAATTACTTGGTAATTTCTTAGTTTTAATATTCAGTTTCTCGAACTATTTTCTCCAATCTATTTAATTTTTATTAAACAGTATCTAAATCATCTTATTTTAACTTCAAACTAAGTTCTGCTTTCTTTAAGTCTGATTATAGATTGACTATAAAATTAATCATAATATTACAGATATTTTAATCTTTTGTTCTTGATTTGGATAGAAAGTCTTAGGCTTCAAATCTTTAAGACTCAAGAGATTAACATTTTCTCTACCATTAATCTAATTATTCTCTGAGTCTGTTCATTTCTATTTGCACAATATTCTCATTATCTTGAACAGCTCTCTTCATTCTTTCTAATTCCATTTCAACAACAGATCTCATTTTCAATTAGTCTTCTAAACTTGAATATCGGAGTCTCCATTGATCAATTTCAGAATTCAAATCTAAAATGGTTTTATTGAGTCTATCCACTTCTTGCATCAATTGATTAACCCTCCCTGTATCCTCAAAATAACTAATCTTTTCAGATGCAATATTCTAAGCTTTCAATCTGAAGTTTTCTTATTGCAAATCGTAAATTTATTTTTCTAAGAATGTGCATTTATCTGAACTCAATATCAATTTATACTTCTCCATGGTTCCTCAATATCAGTTCTAGGTACAACCTTAACTGGCTTATCATAATGCTGAACTTCTTAGTATATAGTCTAAGGTTGAACAATATTTTATATAATGGCAGCCCCTTGAGTCGGCTGCTGAAATTGCTGTTATTTATTTAATGCTTAAACCTCAGGGGATACTAAGAACTTTAAGTATAGATTTGAGGAGTACTTCTTATGCATAAGTTCTTGCAGAGGCAGATCCAAATTAAATTGGCAATCCTGGCCCTGATTCTGGACCCAAAGGCTTCTAAGCATTAATATCTATGTTCATTGATTATGGATATCTTATTGGATCATATGCCGACCTGCTATTAATTACATAGCCTGGATCTCTGTAGGAAGCCATTGTTTTGATAGAGGAAATTAATTATTTGGAATATAATGTAATAAATTTTCAAGCTTGTCTTAAACAGTTTCTTATTAATTATACTATTTCTTTAATTTTGCAAGTTATATAGACTTTAAATATTATATATAAATTATGGACACTATTAAATAGAAATGGAAAAACTATACACTATAAAAACGACTGAAAGACCTTTGGGAGGATTATAAGAAGGTTTCAAATTTATCGGAGGATCCCTAGACGCTAAAAAAGTAATGTGTATTTTTGTGAAAAGATTCCAACAATTCCTTGAATAGGCGAACATAACAATTAAGAATTTTTTAAAAAGCGATGATCAGCAACTAGAAGTCATCCTGGGTGATGCTAATCAAGTGTTGGTTGTGATATTGGATTATTTGAATAAATTTCCGGAAATATAAAAAAGGTTATATTTATATTAACCTTATCTTTAGAAACGCGGACTAAGGGCAATTAGTTTAAGATATAATGGAGTAGTGCATTTAATTGGCAGAATAAATTTTAAGAGAACCAAAGTATCGCAAAAGTGTTGAGAATTCTCATAATGTCTTGTCCGACTTTCTAAATTTAATCGAAAAAGCACAGAAGACTGAATCCAAAGTTCTAATCATAAAGCTTATTGTATTTGCTTTTTTATAACAAAGGTTTTATTTTCCGAGAATCTCAATTAGAGGATTGAATTTTTTGAATAATAAGGATTCCACAAATTGCTCTCAATCTTAATGAACAAGGATCCACAACTTAATCGTGTGATATCGAAGGCCCTCTTGCATTTTTTGCTAATAGAAGATATAAATCAGGTAGTAATATGCAATGTTGAGGATGGACAAGAATAAACAATAAAATAAAAATTTAGTAAAATAGCCGTGTCATTGAGATCTTTTGCATTTCAAGGTATTGACTCTTTATTGATATTACTTCAGAATTGTCAAAGGTGTTCCTTCCTACTCAAAACAATAAATAATTAAGCATCAAGTAGTTTTGTGTTGAAAAGAAGGAAATCCTAACATTATCACAAGCTATCGAATAATAAATAAGTTTGCAATCCATTTTTGAAGTGGACTTAAGTTTCTACATGAATTCACAATCAATAAGCAGGTCCACCTCAGATTAGGATCAGAATAAAAATGAAATTTATGAGAAAATTATTAGCATAAGTAGTACACCTCCAGATAGACTGGCCTTATCATAAACGTAATCTGATAGGTCTCAATCTGAAGACATACTTAAAGAATTTCAAGTTCTCTAAGGAGGATTCAAAGCCATTTTGGAAACACTTGAAAAGGCAACATCTGAAGTCTAAGTGGATTTGCTTTAAACCGTTCAGCAGATCCTTCAAAATAATGCTCGAAATAAAATTGAGTTTAAAAGAGTCAATGGTTATCAATTACTAAGTGACTTTATTACTAATAAGGACTAATAGGATGAGCAATTTTAATAGTAATTCTACAATTTCTTAAAACAAATATCAACTACAGATACTGAGATTGATGATTTAGATGCATTCACACTTATGCTTGAGTTGTTGCCTGTATAATAGGATAAAATTCTGAATATAATTGTGGAAGTTTTAAATTAAAATTGGAAAAATGTTATCATTGCTAAAAGACTAAAGTTATACTATTATTTGGCTATCATTTAAATGAGGTAGTATTTGTCATCTGAGTAAATTGCTGAGAAATTCTGTAATATTGATAACGAGTACATTTTTACTAATTTTAAAAATATTTTAGTTAAGGTTAAATTTTAATAATCTGAGGAGATCTGTTAACAATTGTTTTAACTATATGAATAACTAAACTAGTTGGAAGGATTCTACAGTCTTGAATTTGAAGCAATCTAAAGTTAATTGGCCATTCTATTTATTGATGATATCGATATTTTTAAATAAATTGTTGGATTCGCATTCAAAATGATAGAATTGAAGATGAGCAAGAAATGTAGATACATGAATTCCTTTGATCATCAAAGTGAATTGGCATTTAAAAACTTTAGTATTATTTTTGATTAAATTTACCATTCATTCTTAAAAGCAAAAAAAAATAATATGCAAGATGCAAAGGATCAATCCAGTTATGTGTTTTTTATATAGATAGCTGAAATTATTAACTAATTCTTAGTGTGTGATCACAATATTTAGAAACAGGAAGTAGACATATTCAAAAATATGGTTAGTTAAAACAGATGTGAGTAGTTTATGAATTTAATCAAGCCGAATCTTAAATTAATTTAAAGTAAGTAAATATTAGAACTATTCGATTTTGAATATAATGAAAAGAGTAATTTGGCAATTGCTCACTTATAATTTCGATTAAATTAAGTGTTGTTTAATTCACTAGCGGGAATTATGAGACATAATGATTTTAAAATTGAACCTCAAATGGTTTTATACTTGGTCTATTCTCAGTACGAAATGTGGAATGCTTTAGAACAACAGCCTCAAAATCCTATCACCCCCTTACTAGAATTCTTAATGGATATTTCGAAACTCAGTTCATAATACTTACAATGCATTTCCCACTTCTTTTTCAAAATCAAATTGCGTGATGAAAACACTCTTGTGATTGAAAATCTTATATCATTTTTAAAGTAATTCGACTTCAAAAACCAAGACTTAATTGTCAATATGCTGATTTCAATTTGTAAGAATTTGCCTTATTATTATGACATGGTTAACTTATATCCTGTTTTAATATAATATATTGAAACTTACTTGAACAAAGTGGATCTAGAGTTATGGTTCGACTTTGTGTTTTCAGGAGAAACCATTAAAAAGTTAAATGAACAAAATTATGGAGCAACAATGAGTGATATCCTGAGCTTACTCTCAATTCACAGTATGTTTTAAGAAAAAGTGTTTGATAAGATGATCAATGGGGAATATTTGACTAACTCTTTTGCCACTCTTCAGTATGAAACAACAAAGGAGCAAAGTATTAAATTATCAAATATATTATATTTGTTGAATGCCAAAAGCAATAAGATCAAGGTAATTATTTAAATAATCCAAGAACCCCATTTACAGCAACAAGTAAAAATTCTTCTAATTGATATAAAAACTGATAAATGGCGAAGAGTTCTCAAATTAACTATGTAACACGGTGTTCAAACTTGTATTTTGGAATTTCGATAGTTATCATCTCCTCTACACAGAGAACAGCAGTAATGTTTCTTCAGTTATGGGAAGAAGTGAATTTGCTGAAATCATTTAAAAAACCCAGAAACAATATTTAGAAAATAAGCAACCCATTTAACACATAACTAATTTGGAATCGCTGGAGCTTTTCTTTTTGATGCTAGGTAAAAATAAATCATAGAGTTACATAATTGAAATTTTGAAGATTTTTGAATCAATTTTGGATAACCAAAACTTAGCCACTTTATTAGATTCCAATATAATATAAAGTTTATGTATGTTATTGTAGAACACAGACAAGAGGATTGTGTAGCAAATATATACAATAATTAGAACAATTATATAGTATGATTTAAGTAAGTCAACTAAATTGAAGATTATTGATATATTAAAAAGACATGATGATGCATCTCATATTTTAATAGACTATTTAAAGGATTTATTGTAGAATCCAGTGATAAAAAATGATCATGTGACCTTTTTAAAAAACTTTGACATTTTAGTAAAGAATTTTGAAGAGTTGGTGGGTTTCAATGAAGAAATAGACATTTTATTGTTTCAAATAATCAATTTGATGGCATCTAAGAATTCTCCAGAAATACGATCAGTGTTAAAACAGTTGAATCTCTTTGAATATAGAGATAATCTGGCATTGCAAATAATAAAATATAAAATGGACCCATAATAGTTGATGGATATACTATCAGGAATTCCATTTGCCTAATTGTGTAACAGTAGAAATTTTAAGGAATCCCATTGTATGGCTTATTTATTGCAAAGATTGATTTAGCACAAGGATCATTTCGGTTTACCACTTTTAATAATAAAGATTTTAAAATATGATATATCAACAATAGAGGATAATCGAAAGTATGTTAGTAAGCTTCTGCAGAATGATTAATTGATTAGTTTCTTTTATCCATAAATGTTGAGAAAATAAAGCAAAAGTTTAAAGTGCTTTGATTAGGAGGATCAGAAAAATCAGAGATCCAATTCACCAGAAACGGATGCAGCATTTTCTCAAAACATGACTGTCGATCAATTTCTAACATTATTTTTCAGTGATAAATTGTAGGATGAGCGATAGCAAATAAAGTTAACATTAGAAAGGGCACTCATTCCTGTGGACAGTGAGTACAAGAGGTAAATAATGAAGTATAATACGAAAAAGCAGAGTCGGTTGGCCAAATTGTCAGAATAGGAGCAGAGTGATAATTTAAGAGTAAGAATGTATTAATATTTATAGATTTAAACTTCAAATAATGATTGGGAATTCAAGATATAGTCTCGTTTAAAGAAGAGTAACGAAAGATCGAAATTGAGAAGTCAAAAACAATAGGAATAATTTGAATAGGTGTTGGCAGATGGAGAGAACTAATGGTTTAAATTGTGCTTAGGATAATGAAATTTATATATATTATATTAAAGTATGTTTGTATAAGACATGCAATTTATACGATCAAGTGAATAAAACTTTGTGATTAACACTCAGTCCTTTCAAACTGTTGTATTTTAATATGATAGATTAATTCAAATGCAATTGCCAGAGAAATAGCTTTATGATAGTTTAAAAAATAGGGCTCTGAAATTAGGGCAGACAATAATGATAAGTGGTAATCCCTTTAAGGTTTTTTTATTGGATCCACTCCATGGTCATGTAGGCGACACAACCTCAATTCTGTGTTATCCCGGAGATTTGAGCAATAATCGAACATTGTAACAAGTTTAATTTCTGAATCTGTCCCAAGAGAAGAAGGAACATATTACCAGACTCCCTATAAACCAGCATATTAGCCAAGATCAATAGATAATTATTGATGGACTGCTTATGCAAGTTATACGGTGCTAGCCTGAGGATGGAATATTTCGATAGTAAACTGTAAATCAATTATGTTAATAAAATAGGAATGCAGGATTGTGAACTCTGGGAAACCCATGTTATAAGAAATCTAGATAGTAATTCAAAATTAGCAAGAACCAAATAAATAAGAATTACTGAAAAATTACATATAGCCTTATTTTATGATTCCCAGGTATGTGAGAGAAGGCTCTAGATTGAGGATTAAGGAAGTGGATTTTATGATTAAATCGTGTAAGCCGAAGAAAGGATTTATAGATAATAGAACGATAATTCAGTTGTTTGATAACGAACAATTTACATTTAAATCCATGAACGATGAGGACGAAGAAACAGGGGGATTGTAGGTTTAAATAAACACCCTCAAAATACTCTAAGATAAAACAGCATCCAGAAATCAATTCGTTTAAAAAAGAAAGAAATTGTATAGCATGATGGAGAACTATTGTTAATATGATGAAAAGGAAAATTAGATTGTGTTATCTTCAAGAGACCTAAGCAGTCGAAGTTAGTCGATTAATGATTTCCCCATATTTCCAAACACGTTTCTATCGTAATTACACAAAGAAATCGACGAGGTTTCTCATGATTTAGAAAGTGATCTTATGGATAGTGACGAAACCTATTAAGGGATTGGACTACATGAATAGAATCAAAAGTTGTCATAGATGACTCTGCCTGTGTTCTTTAAAAATATACTCATCTCCAATAAACATGGAGCCAATAGATAATCAAGATTGCAATAGCCTGAATAGCCATATTCTGATGATTCCTCTTTAGATAGATCTATTGATTCAGACAATAATGGACAGTAATAGTAAAGTGAAACTTCTCTTCTCATTCATGAAGATCAACCTCATTTGATAGCTCTTCCTCGATATTTTGATGAAATCGTATTAGTATTCATTCGAATTTATCATTAAGTTTAATTCACAAAGATGGTTGCCAATCATTCACGATGGAGTTTCATAAAACATCATAAACAAGTTCCCAGAGAGGAAAATCGATCTTAAATGGATTCAAAATAAAGGTAAAAATGAGAATGCTGACTTTTGTAAATGCATGATCTGTTTAATGGATTACACTGATGAAGAAATTGTGAGAACATTACCTTGTCGTAAATATCTAAATTAATTAACATTTAGTTCACTATTTCCATTGTGAATGCATAGATTTCTGGTTGGCCAAAAGTCGCAAATGCCCAATTTGTAAAACTGGATGTGACTAATATCTGAACTATTGATTTATTTAAATTATTAACGAAATGATTAAAACTGCATATAAAAAGCAGCCCCTCATTCCTAAATTGTCTAATCTAACCTCAGCTATTGAAATTTAACATCCGTTATCATGTCGACAATAAAAATAGACCTATGTTTCATTTATATAACCATCAATCAAAACAACAAGACATAAAGAAAATACTTATAAGTTCGCAAAAACCCCAACAAAATCAGATCATATTAATTTAAATGTCAGTAAACATAGCAGATCACCAAATAGTTCTCAAATCCAATCTAGTCAAGCAATCTTAAATGTTTTAAATCAAAATATCAGATTAAGATAATAACAATAATCATATTAGTAGTAAACCTACAAATCAAACAATGTTACTCCCCAAAAGTAAATTTCCCAAGAGGAATAGAATAAAATTGATAAAATACAAACACAAGAGTTGTACTAATAAATAATTAAATAAAGACAATAAAGTATTCAAAATGTCTAATAAACTATTTGTTGCATCAATCATACGGAGAAAAAGGCTAAATATTTCAAAGCCAACGAAAAACAAGAGAGATAATACTTATGTTCTCTCTGTGCTATTTAAGAAGCATATGAAGGTCTCATCTATGACATGAAAACTAATTAATTGATTCCTAAGAAGAAAAACTAAAGAAGTTGGACTTTGAAATATGATGAACCAATCACAACTGAATAGAATAGAAAATTATAATAATTGAACGAATTCTTAGAATTAGCCAGATAATTATATGATTCTGCAAAAACAAAAAAAGAAGTTTCGCTAAAGTATAGCATCTAAGAAATTCTTGCAGAAATTGAAACCATTAGTTAAGATATTATAAATAATGCTCAAAACATCATCCAAAATGTGGAATCGAAGTCTTTCTAGATGATATTGCAAAACTATGTAAATAGATTGCAACAATTTGATATTATCATTAATAAGCAGAATTGTGTAAACAAGTTACCTTTGAAAAAGTAAGTTTTGATTAGTTTCCAAAATAAAGATAGTTTTGTGAATCCTGATTAAATGGAATCTACAGATTCACTAATGCTAAGAGAATCAGAAACACAACACTTTTTTGATGATTGTAATGATGTTACTTTATATTCACCAAATTTCTGAAAATATATATAACTCATTTCTGTTGCTATCTATATAAAAATCTATCTAATTTAGGTGTTCCATAGTAGCTGGCTTAAAATGTGCTCACAATAAAGCCATAAATGATTGATTTTTTGAAAATCGTTGATGGTCTGACTTAGATTACTCTACTCCAAAAATATAACCAAGTAAATGATGTAGATATAAGTAAACACTTGTAATTGGTTTGGAGCATTTGATTTCTTTGTGTCTTGTCAGTTGTTGTCAATAGAAATCTATTTGATATGTTGAGTATTAAACCTGTAATAAAAATAATAATCAAGCATAAAATTCATTATTTATTTAATAAAATAAACAAAATTCTAGGGAAGCCAATCTAAATACAATAAACTGAGAAGAACTTCATTTCTCTTTAGAAAACATGAGATTCTAAATTTAGTCTCAAGAAAATATAATTATATTTAAATAAATAATAATATGGCAGAAAGAGGACATGCCTTAAAATAGGACATTAGCAAATTAGCATGGGAAGAAACCGATTTTCCAATAGTCTGCCATGTTTGTCTAGGTGAGAACCCATATATTCGAATGGTAATTTTAAATCTTATTATCGAATAAAGCTTAAAGATAGATTTGGAAGAGAGTGCAGAATCTGTGCAAGACCATTCACTACTTTTAAATGGAAACCCGGACATAATTCAAGATAGAAATAGACTGAAATTTGTTAGACATGTGGAAAAATAAAAAATATTTGTTAGGCTTGTTTCAAAGATTTAGATTTAAATATGGGGTTATGCACAAGAGACAAATTTTTAGGTGATGAAAAGATTGAAATACCTGAACACACAGCAAATAGAGATTACTGGGCTGAATAAGCTAATAGACAAATTGAGAGATTAATTTTACCATATGATAAACCTTTGCCGATGTTAGACTAAATCTTGAAAGAACCAAGATTAGCAGAAGTCAATTAGCAATTGAATGATGGAAAACTAGAACCAGCCAATCAAGTTGTTTGTGAACCTTTGCAAAATCCCATAGATGCCGATTTACTTTACAAGGAGAAGTTCGAACCAAAAGGACTTATTGCCCCGGATGACCCTAAAATTTGCAGTCTCTATATTTCGCATATGAGTGCAGATATCAAAGAATCAGATCTAAAGTAATTTGGAATTATAATTAATAGACACTTATTTTCAAAGTATGGAAAACTAAATTCAATTAAAATTATGGAACACGGACAAAGTTGCTTTATACAATTTGCTAAAAGAAAAGATGCTGAAAATGCAGTTAATAGTCTTTATAACAATATTATTATAAAAGATGTTATATGCAAAATACAATGGGCTAGAGCCCCTTATAAAAAAATGCCTATTCAAAGTATTAGTTATTTTTCTTACTTGTTAGATCTCATTTAACAGTTGTAACCTGACACTAATAAAAATGCTAGTGCACCTCAAATGCCTCCTAAAAATATTGAAAATAAACAACAATCTGAAGATAAGTATTAATACTCCTCTTCAATTAGTATCTTGATTGGTTTACTGGAATCCAAAATGAGCTATCCTAATTAAAATCCATACTAGAAAGGAGGAGTAAATATTAAAGATTTATGATTATTATATATGAACATGTAATTTGAGTAACAAAGAGTGGCTTCTGTCGTAAAACGGAATTTACAAAAGTTTAAAATACTAGTAGGAAATAAAGAAAAGAAATTTAATGATCTCTTAATTCCATTCACAAAACTTGATACCTTTATAAATGCTAAATCTATACTCAAATAAATAGTAAAGCCATCTAATAAAATATTGGACCCCTTAAACACTTGCGAAATTCAAAGGCAATAATAACACAAAAGCACATTTGTTAATGGAGATGGTAACTCTGATAACTTTTATGATGATGTTGACTCATTGATCAATCACTTAGAAAAAGAATAATCAGAAATGATAACAGTTGGAACAAAGAAAATTAGCAAGAGTGAAATACTCGAATTCAAATCAAAACATCCAAATTATTCATTAGTTAGTAAACAATTTGCTGAGAAATCCAAAAGAATGATTGCAAATTTAAACAGGTAATCCACGAGAATATTTAATAAGAAATATTCAATGATCCATCTCTCTCCTAGATAATCATCTAGTCATCACAATATTGCATTAAATTCTGAAAGAGATTCCTCACATTCCAAATATACTCATTCTAAACACCCTTAAGGGTTAGAACTACGACCTTAAAAGTCTCAATTTAAAATAAAAACTGAACCCAAAACTCAAAGAAACTATAACTAATAAATTCAATAACTAATTAATAATATAGAAGGAGTGCATAAATAGATGACAGACGAAACCGGCTTATTATAAAAAAAGACCAGTAGGTTTATTTTAAACTAATCTAAAAGTAATTCAAAAATTTCTTAATTCGATTATCTTGCTTCTGATGCAAATTTTGCATTTACAAAAATAAAGAGAAGAAAGCCTTGATCATTATGTATTTTATTTAAATATCCACTTAACATTTCTTAATAATATTATTGAAATTAGTTGATATATTTTAAATTGAATGTACCTTATGAAATTGTTCTTAAATCTCAAAGGATATAATCAAATATTGTAAAAGAAATTTACATTTGTATAGGTTTTAGAATTGATAGTAGATTTAAAACATCAAAATTTGAGTTGAAAAATAAATAAAATAAATTAAGAGTTAGATATATTATTATAACTTCATATATTGATTTAACCTCTAATGACATTTGTTTAATTTAAACATTTATTAATGATAGTCTGTCAAATATATAAGTTTAAAATATAATATTATAATATTATCATTCTTTTTCTATTTCAAACTACTTTTACAAAAGTCCATAATTGGCTTTATTTTATTCATATTAAACGTCTCCATCTTGTACCTTTTCTTTTTTGAAATTCTTTTTCTAGCTATCAAATCTAAATATTCTCAATTAGACTCTAACTTTATTAATCAATTTTTACCCTAATTTTTTTCCCATAAATTCCTTTCCATTCATAAATGTCTAAAACTTTTAGGCGTCCTCAACATTTTTAAATAAGACAAACGCATATCCTTTATTGAAATCTTAATTTTAATCCTTAGGAATTTATATTTTTTCAATTTCCCCAAAATCAATCAATAAATCTAGAAGCTCCTCATTTTTCATTTATCTGGGTAAACCTGTAATGTAAGCCTATTTATCGCTTCTTTTAATATCTAATTTGTTTTTTTCCTTTTTCAAACTGAATGGTTTCACAACAATTTATTATAAAACATCTTTAGTGTCAATGTAATTTTCATGATGCTCCTTGATAAATTTTTGAGCAATTGATTCTGATTCCATCTCAATAACTGCTTTACCGGTGGGATTATCAAATGAGTCTTTGATAAGCTGAACTATTATTTCTTTGTATATCTACTTCTTTTTATCAATTTATCTTGAGGATCAAAATATTCTTTTACTTATTTTTCATTCCAATCCTTAGGGAGGAAATAGGCAAATGCTACATTTTTTTGGGCATTATCTATCGATTTTGTAAGTTGATTTGCAAAAACCTTTAGTTTAGAAAAGTTGTAAAAGGATTTACACAATTAAAACATAAAAAAATAATTAATATGTATTTTAAAAACAGTAGCATATTAAAATAATAATAAGGAATCAGTGAATAAATATTAATAATACATTAGGTAATAAATCCCTTCAATTAAGATATTTAATTAATAAAAACTATGTTGTTCTTTATTTTAATAAGTTTTCTTGTAACTCTAGTGAAAGCTTAGACAGGGACAATAAATCCGACTTAGCAAATCTAATACTCGGAGTATTCGATGGCAGATTGGAACAATTATTTGTATTTTACAATAGAATCAAAATATGTTCCAGCTTCGGTATTGTACTCTAACAAATCCTCAAGCACCAGCAATATTTATTAAATTTTCTGCATTTAGAATACTAAAATAATAGACATTAGTACATAATATGTATTTTTGACTTATTTGAAAATTGACAATACTCTAAAAACATTGACTCACTATTTTGAATTTTAAACACAAGTGCAAAAATATTCAGAAAAAATAACACTTCAAAACTTAAATTATGAAGGGTACTGGTATAGTTTGGAGATTAGAAACGATGCAAAACAGCAGTAATTAAATATCACATTTTATTAAAACCTCAATAAAATTATATTGTTCCAAAAAATTTTAAAAAATGAGTATTTTCCAATTCAGGATTACTTTTCCTTTTACCTTGGTGAGTCAAAAATTGTATTTATTATTCTATTATAAAATTTAGTCAAGATATCTTGGGTACAATTAATTACAAGGACCAATTAAGTATCAAATCCTTTCATCAACTTCAAAGTTCACACCTTAGACTCAGACTTCATGTAGTTCCACATCTGGTTTGGCCTTAAGAAGTACATTCAATTATTCCTCAACTAATTTCTATGATTATACAATCAAAGATATAATTTCAAAATCATATGGATTGACTACATGGTTAAAAATGGAAAGGAATAGTAATTTAGTAACTAACTATGTCAATGTGTTGCATATATAATAGAATTTAATATATAACTATTTGTCCTAAATAGGTGGAAGATTAGCCTAAGTATCATACTCCATCACATCCACTAAATAAATAGTGGAAATAATTTACACCACTTTTACCTTTCCAACCATTCCTTCTCTTGTAAACAATGCAGATCCCACTGAGAAAATTGTTAGTTACGAAATACCAATTTAGTATTCGCTTTATAACTGGCATTACTTTTCGTATTCTTATAAAAGTAACTAAATCTATTTGAATATAAATTTTGTGCAACAAAACTATCAATTTTCGAAAACTTTGACTAGCGTTAACTAGTTTTCAGATTTAAACTTAGTAATTAATTTGGGTGGAACCTAATATCACAAGAGCAATAATTAAGGGTAGTTTAATTTACCTTACTTTTATACTTGTCTAACTACTTATACTCCAAAATGTTATCTAACATGCGCTACTTGTTTTGGGCCAAATAAAAATGAGTGTCTTACTTGTTCTTCTGCATCTAATAGATAATTAACAAAAGATAATATTTGTATTTGTAAATCTGGTTATTTGGATACAAACTTTACAACATGTTATAGCTATGCAGGAACACCCAATATAGAACAATTGATACCCCTCTCCAAAAAGCAAGGGTATGATTAAGAGGAACCAAATGTAATTTGCTCTTTTGGATACTTCCTGTATGATAATCAATGTTTTGAATGGTAATTTAAACATAATAAGTTAGTCCCAAACTTAATCGTATGTATTTTTGTCCTGAGTGCATCTAATATCCAAATACTTGGGTCCTCAATCCAATATGCACAAAAAAATACTCATAATTTAACTAGAATGAAAATAACACATTTGTATAAGACATTACAAATGGTGCTTCCATATTACTTTTAGAAACAGATCCATATAATGTCTACTTATTTAATAATAATTAACTAACATATTGTAATTTTTGTAGTTCCTTATGCTTAACGCTTCCATATAGTTCATAATGTCTTGAAAGTGCATACTACCACTTAAACCAACCTGTGTTGGTAATTTGCAATACTGGTGTAAAATTGATTGATGGAGTATGTAAGTCCTGTGATACTGATTGCTCAAAATGTATTCAAATTGATAATGAACTTATCTGTGTTACTCGTTCTCAATTATCACCTGTTAATTAAGTTTGTAATACAAATTCTAAAACCACATGCACAGGGTGTCAAAATAACAGCCTTTATTTTTATAATTTTGAATAAAATGATTGCTACTTATGTTCACTACCTAATTGCAAATACTGCTTCTAATATGTAAAATCCAACCCATTTTATAATTCAGTCTTCAAATACTCAAATATCACATATGATAAAGAAGATCTAGTAGTTGGTTGCGCTCTTTGCTATAATGGATTTATCTTTAATTTTGATACTGGCTAGTGTGAATAAAATTAAAATTTGTTAGGCACTTCCTGTTCCTTATATTACATAAACCCTTCTAAAACTTCAGTATGTATTACTGATAATGATTTTTCCAATGGAGTTTAAATCAGTGATTGTTCAAATTACTTATAGAATTGTATTAACTGTATCAAAATAACAAGCAGTTAATATTACTGTGTGGCTTGCTAACCTGGATATTATTTATAAAGAGCTTATGGCACTTGTCTATCCTGCGTAGACTTTAATCCTACTTATAGCGAATGCTATTCCACTTAATTATATAATTAGAATTATAAATATGAAATGACACCATTAATATACAGTATCAGTTAATAATACCCTGGCTCTTAAAAAGTTGAATCTCTATCTGTTTATGTAAGTCAATGTGCACCAGGCTATTAATTAACAACAAATCAAAATTGTAATTTAGTAGATCCTATACATTGCAGTGGCTATTAATTAGGATGTAGAACATGTGAATCTACATTAGAAGGAACAAAACGTTTAACAATAATTGACTTAAAATGTTCAGATTGTCCTTTTTATTGTGAATATTGCAAACCACGTAGCTAATTAGAATTGCAGTAATTGAATCCCTATCTGAATTTAACTTTAATTTAAAATTGGCTAACTTATAGATGCATCCAAAAATCAACTACTTAAAATTATATATTCTTTGATAATGAAAAATAACTATCAAGACAGTGCACTTTAGATGTTCCAAAATGCTAACTTAAAATAAAATATGTAAATATTTTACTTAATATATCTTAGAATTTTACAGCCTTCAGCAACTATTAAAGTTTAATTAAATCTGGAGTAATTACCAACTTATTTTTATTTTATAATCTCAAAAGCCCAACATATATTGATTTATATATAAACTAGAGTACGACTTATTCAGAATTTAATTCCTTTGTAAATTTCAATAATTTATAAAACATATTTATTCAATAAATATCAAGCGTTAAATCCGTTAAGCTAACATATTACACTACAAATGTGTCACTTGCTTTTATTTTTGGAAAATTAAAATTTATAAACTACTAGGAAATCATTTTCAATTAAACATCCATTTTATTTAGTTAAACTTAATAATCTAGTTTTGCAATTGAATCATTATTACATGTGAAGTTGACTTTTGAAAATGTAATCATTTCAGATACCTTATTGCAACCCACTAACTTATATATTATATATAATGATAAAACTACTGAAAGATCATATTAAATTAGTGTGTAAAATCCTGATAAAATTAATTTTACTAATGTTATCATCTAGAATATTACATTGGTTAATGTGACATTTCTCAACTTTACATCAGTTGTTGATAAAATAACAAGTCTAGACATTTTGAATTTCAAAAACGTAACTTTTTTAAATTGCTCATTTACATCTACCAATTTAATTAGCCTGAGTGATCGGAATAACTATAATACGATTTAATTTATTAGTCTGCGATTTATCAATTGCATTTTCTAAAACAGTACATTTTTCAATGGTATTGACTTATCATTAAGTGGAATTGTTCTCTTTCAAGATTTTATTGTCCAAAATTGCTCTATGAAAAACTCTATTTTTATTTTGGCTCCATAAAGCCAAACTATTTTGATTAGAAATTTTTAAATAAAAAATTGTTCTTTTTATGATACTGATTTTATAAGATTGTCCTCATCAACAAAAATTATAAACCTATCACTTTAGCAAAGCTTATTGAAAAATTTCGTTCTCATTCACAAAATTAAAACTACACAATCAGTAATTTCTGGTACTAAAGAAGATTATTACTTTGAAAAAATAGTCATTTATAATTCTTAGTATTATTAGACCGTCATTGTAGAAATCCCTTAATATGGTTTAGAAGAAATAAGTGTTTCCTTATTTGATATATAATTGTATCAGTTGGAATCGCTAGACAATCCAGAAGAAAGAGATTACTATTTTTTTTTGATATAAACATCCTTTTTTAAAGCAAGTCAAATATAGTTAATTAGATCCCCTGGATGCAGAGAATTTTCTATTAAAAATGCAAATACTGTAATAATATCTAATGTTAATGTAACCTCCACTCTTACACAATAACAATTTAACTTTGGTAAATTAAAGGAAGGATCACTTAGTTCAATTTTTTATATTGAAGCTTAAATTTTAGAATTGAAGGATATTTTAATCTCAAACCAATTATGTGTGGATAATAAAATAATTGACATAAATCTGATTTAGATATTGAATCAGAATCAAGGATATTTAAAATTAGATAATTTATTATTTTCAAACATTCAATTGATTAAGACAATATTCTCAGAAATAACCACTGTTTTGTTTATTTCTGGCAATGTCTAAAATAACATAACTGTTTCCAATTCCAAATTTTAAGAAATATTCTTAAATGAATTAGTGTAGGATACTAAGATTTCTTCAGCAGCCTTAGCTGTTATACAGTCAGAATCGAGCTATTTAAGGTTAGTTGATAATTTAATTAATGATGTTATTGTGCTAAACTCGAGTAATTCTATTATATTGATTTAAATCTTGTCATTAGAAATCGTGAATTTAACAAGCACCAATATAAATAATGTTGATTACTTCTTTGAAAAGTATCAAAAAGAATAATTAATATTAATGTAGTTGAATACTCCAGTAGTGAACTCTCAAGGCGGACTAATAAATTTGTAGATTTAGTCTTTGTTTATTATTGATTCTTAATTTATTAATTCAACAGGATTATCAGGTGGTGTTTTTAGTATTACTACAAAATTAAATGGATTGCTAAATATATCTAATTGCAATTTCATTAATCAATCTACAAGTATTAATAATGCTTAGGATGGAAAAGGAGGCAGCATTTATATTAATTCAGAAAACTCATATTTGAATCTTTATATCAGCGATACAAGCTTTATAAATTCTAAAAGTGGTTTTATTGGAGGGGTAATTTACTTCAAACCTTCTTTTTATTAAGTGTAAATATTTCTTAACAACTTATATTTAAATAATGTGTTTGCAATTTAGTCCTCTATATTTTCGTTTTCGATGAGTTAACTCAACTCTAGATCAATATCCTACATTTCAATAAAAAATATAAGAGTTGAAAATCGCTTTGAGGAATTTCTAGACTACTTAACATAATTTAATTTAGATATTAATACCTACTAAATAAATTAAGATTCAGCTGTATTTTCCTTAAAAGACTGGTAATAACTTATATATTATTTATAGCCATATCAAACTAGAAAACTTTTATTATGATGGATTTGCATTTCAACCTATATTTTATTTCAAATTTGTAAAGAGAATGCTAATTAACAATTTGAATATTTAAGATACAACTTATATGACTTCAGCATTGGTGTATTTTGAGAATGAATAAAGTATTTTAAGTAATATATTTAGGTTTGAAATCTCTTTTTTTAATCTAAAGCCTTTTAATTACTGATTGTATCGAATATTAAAATTAAGAAAAGCATTACCCAAATTATGCCTAACAAATTGTTAATTTAAACAATTATTTTTCATCTTTAGTTTAAGGAGATAATTTGAGATCACTTATATAAATGAATATTTATGAAAACATCTCATCAGTTCATGTTAAATTGCTGAATTTACATTATAATAATTGCACTTATTGTAATAGCGGAGTGTTTTATTTATATAACCAATAAAGCAATATAAATTTAAAACTACAAGAATTAATTTTTCTATCTAATATTTGTGGTTTTGATACTTGTTTTTTGGTGAAATCAGAGGATACTAAAAAATACCATAGACTTACAAAATCTAAATTTATTAATAATAAAGCTTATATAGGAGGAGCAATTAGATCAGATAATTTCGGTTTTCTTATTAAATAAAGCTTTTTCATTTAGAATTTAGCAAAAACCAAAGGAGGAGCAATCCATTATTAAAATAGTAATTAACCTCTTAAATTTATTGATATCAATTTTTATTCAAATTAAGCTCAAATTGGTGGAGCTATTTATGATTTGAATAGATACGATAATATTTCTGATTCATTTCATTTTATAGAAAATAAAGCCTCAGTATATGGCAATAATGTAGCAACCCAAGCAAGTATCCTGTAATTACAAATGAATGATATTCCTCATCATAGATAGACATATCAAACTGATAACATTACTATTGAGGAAGTTTTATACTATAATAAATCAAAATTAACAAAATATTTATATTTTCCAAGCGGAACAGATTTAAATAGCTTTCAAAAATTTAATAAAAATACTACTTCATTTTACAAATATCCATTAGATATAACAATAAAAACATTTAATTTTCAAAATGAACAAATGATTGAATAAAACAATACTAAATGCAACTTTAGTATTTAGCATATGATGTAAGTAGAAAATGATGAATAAATTATTAATAATACAATTATAACATCATCACTGTTGTATGATGGCACTAAATCTTTATACAATTTAAATTAACTTATATTTACATTCGATCCTTACTTGGAGAATAATAATTACCTTAGAACTGATGTTCAATGTGATAGTATTAAAAAGAACAATTACTTCTTAAGGTTTTACAGCAAATCCTTTAAATGCCAAATTGGAGAATATTATTAAGATAGCAAATGCCTCAAATGTGACAGCAACCAAGGGTATTATTCTGTGGAATACAAGGCAACCTCCTGTCAAAGAATAAACATTTAAATGATCAAAAGCACAACAGGGGCATTAATTGAATTATAAAGTGGGTATTGGAGGCCAACTTTAAGATCTAATAAAATTGAATAGTGCAATACATATCCTGGTAGATGCCTTGGTGGATGGTAGGTCTCTGATCAATCTTGTGATATTGGAGCACTAGGAGCATTATGCGAATAATGTGATATTTATAATATAAGAGGACAAGGTTCTTTCTTGAATAACAAAGCTTAGAATTGCTAAATATGTGGTGAGTTCAGCTATTAATTTGCTTTTATGATTATTGATACTTTATGGATTGTGTTGCTGATTGGATTGACTATAAAAAGTAATCAATTTTCTAATAGATAATTGTTTAAATTAAAATGCCTTTATAGACATTTTGGAACTATTCACAAATAGATGATTGATTAAACCAGTACTTTAATTAAATTGGCTAATAACATCTTTTAGATTTTATCATTAATTAGCACATTCTAAATTTCAATATTTTCCAATTTGACAAATGCTATTTTATTTTTGGGTGATTCCACTTATATGGTAACATATCAACTCGATTGTTCAATACCATATATTACTAACATTAATTATGAATATGCCCATTATATTTTAATGCTATTATTGCCTCTCTTGCATTTTGCACTAGGATGCTTTATATTTTTGTTATTTTTACTTAGGAAATAAGTGACTTTTTCTAAATCGTACATTTTCTCTGCAATAATTTATTTATACTGTTTGAATTAGCAAAATATTATTAAATGGTATTATACTAATTAATTTTAGGGGTGTCTCATTGATAACTAAAAGATCGCTCTCAGGGATTGATTGGATTCAAGCTAATGTAGAACATAGATATGATACTTAAGTTCATCAAGATTGGTCTATTAGATTCATATACCCCATTTTAATAGTTTATGGTATCCTCATTCCTTTGTTTTTGTATCTGCAATTAAAAAGAGTGAAAGATTGCCTTGATGATAAGAATGCAAGAATAAAATATTCTTTTTTATATAACGAGTATACAGCGGAATCCTATTATTGGGAAATCATTAAAATGCTTCAAAAGCTATCTATTATCCTTATTGTTAATTACTATGAATAATTTATACTAGTAAAAGGAATCATAATCTTTTTGATCATCTTAATTTACTACAAGCTTTGCTAATAACTTTAGCCATATAAATTATAATCCATAAGTACTATTGATGTCAAAACATCCTTCTTATTGTCTGTCACCATTATATGTTGTCTCCTGCTCTATGCAGTTTAATAAGCAAACATCATGTATCTGAATTATTTGATTTAAATGATCATAATTTTTCTAATTTTGGCCTTAACAGAAGCACTATTACATAGAATTTTCATTGCATACATAGCAAAATTAAACTTACAATTAGATTTTATAAGAAAAATAATTATTAGAAGATTCCCATCTATAGCTAAAGAAATGAAATGCCTCAAACCATATCTTTTGTTGAGAAAGGATCAAGAAGAAAGAATTCAAACTAGATTTAGGAAAATTAAACAGTATTTAAAAAACCAATCGAAATTTATCAATAGCAGACAAGTTTTATTGAGCATCAAGGATTCTAGCTTTATTGCTTCAAATCCTTTGTCACAAAATACAACTAGGCCTTTCATAAATACAGATAGGAACTAAAACACAAAAATTTTAGACTGAAAGATTAATAAAAACATAAATAGCAATCTAATTATTCTATAGCATTTACATTTAAGTTTAATTTTACTAAATTAAATTATAATTAAATAAATTAATAAATGAAGAAGTCATCCATTTTCTCAATTAGCTTTTTATCTTATAGAACATCTCTTTGTAATTCTAGATCTATGGATCGACATATACCAATCTGAAGCAATTTAATCCAACTTAAAATAGTGTTAGAAATTTTTTTCTATCTACTCAACACTTAGGAATTGTCTTTCACATTTAAATGAGAAATAAATCACTTATTCTTTAATTGAGGTACTTTTATTTTATTCTGTAAATATTTTTATATCAACATTAGAAATAAATTCTTCTCCCTAATAATTTTTGATATTTGTGGCAAATCTAGTCTCACCAATTATCTAGTATATTTTGTTTAGATCCCAACATTTAGGTAACAAATTGTGATTAAAAATATAATCATCAATTATTTCTTGATTAATTCCCATCATTCGAAGAAAATCATAATTCCATTTTTTCTATATTTTGATTAGTTTGTTATTGTGAAACTACAAAGTGATACATTCATAAGGTAGATTTAATGAGTCCTCATATCTTCTTCTTTCGTTTTATTACTAAGCTAATACTGGTAAACTATTGTATAATTGTAATAATTCATATTAATAAAAACTATTGTTTTTTGTAAGTTCATTTTCTTCTTCACAAGAGTTTGTTGGTGACAATTTGCACTCAACAAACTCTGGAGTAATTTTCCTTTCCAAAATTTTATTATTTATCGTAAATTCATCAATTTGTAATCTTCCCAAAGGGATTAGAATGTTTTGAATTGAACCATAGGATTGATCTAAATATTTTTTATGAGTGATTTCATAAGTCTATTATCTCAGTTTTCTATTATTTTGATAAGCTAAAATAATAGATTGCTCAGACTTTTTCTTCGTTTAGAGAGTTTACTTTTGTTATTTTTTTATTGTTCTATGATGTATTTTTTCAAGACCAGCCTCTTACTTCAGCTGGCACTTAGGAGTGGAATGCATAGAATATATAGATGACATAAAGCTGAAATAATATAATAAATGATTTTAGTGTTAAAACTGGCAATTATGAATGCCAGTTTAAGTGTGTTAATTAAAATATATTACTAAGAAATATCAAGCGAAGATATGTAATTAATAAATAATTTATATTGATTAATACTTATTAATTATATTGATTTTTAATAAATATGACAATTCAATAAGTAGTGAAAGCCAAGTTGCATTCTTTTCTGAAAATAATGTCTATCTCTGCACTTTTTGACAATAATCTCCAACTTCAAGAAATTTATATAAAATTTTCAAATGTATAATCTTCAACTCATTATTTTAATGAATTCAATTTATATTTTAAAATTACTTTTCAAATTATCGCCTTCTTTCAGACTTATGCTTGAGAAGTAATCTTCAATTTAAATACAATATCTCATGTAAATACCTTACATTAAGGTTTGAATTTTAAATAATAAAATTTTAAATATTTAAAATTATTTATACATGAGAAATTAATTCCCAATATTAATTTGAAAAAGCAAATTAATTAAGTCATAAATAAAGAAAGTTCAATATTATTAAATAATAAAAAGATCAATCCGATTCAGGTAAGTATTATTTCAAATAAATAGCTGTCTAACTGATAAAGAGAATACTAATAATTTAGAAAGAGAATTCTTATTATTACAATTTTATTTTAGAACTCCATTCTAAATAAGACTAGCCCCTTAGAGACATTCTAATTTAATATCAATCTGTTTTTAAATAAATGCTCATAGCATTTTTACTTGAATTAGATAAAAAATCAATACTTATTTTCTGATGTTTTAGATGGAAAATTTTTGCATCTCAAAATTTAGTGATCTATCAGTACTTAAGCATCAAATAGTAATTATTTTTGTCAGCTATTATAATTTACATACTTAAGTTTAGTATTGAGTATTTCAAAGTTCAACTATCTAAATTTTATTTTATATTATATTAATTTAACTTACTTTACACGTACTTCTTCCCATTAACAACAAAAATTAAAAGGAAAAGCAATAATAAATCTTCTCTCTTAAATTATGTTTCTAGTATCCCAAAATTTTTCATTTTCGCTATTACATAAAGAGGGGATTGCAAAACCCATTGATTTTGTTAGATCAAATTTAAATTAGAAAAATTATAGTCACAATATGTTGTTACTAAATAATATTAAATTTAGATTAATAATTTTTTATTAAAATATTAAAATATATAAAATGGTTTTGGCAAAAGTAGCATTAGGAACAGCAGGAGCAGTTACACTTGGATACTTATTTGTTCCACCTTTTAATAGAAAGCTAGAAAGAAATGTTCTTAGACCAATTAGGAATTATAGAAGACATTTATAATAAGAAGATTCATTCAAGACAGAAGTAAATTGCACTTAAAATTTGTTAGGAAGAATTTTATCAATTCTTAGGCAGTGTTGCTTTGGGCACTTTGAGAATGTTTACAATCGAAAGCGATTGAAGAATTATTATATATTAAATAATATCAATAATATTTTAAGAATGAGAAGGCTACATTTCTCATGAAATAAGACAGATCCCAATAGCAAAGAATTATATTAATAAGATGAAGAATGCATAATAATAAATACTATATATTGAGATGATAATCATATCATGGGGAAATGATAATCAATAAAATCAAAATTAAAAATAAATAATGAATAAACAGAGATACTTAAGTACATTGAATTGGAATGTAAATTGTATTGATAATCATTCAATTAGCGCGCAAATCAATTTTCCTTAAATAAATGACTTGAGAAATAAAAATATAAAAAAGAAAGTTGAATTTACAGTTCTACAAAATGTTTAGAGCATGAATAAGTAATCAGATACAACAAAACATCAGAATCAGTAAAAATTAACTTTTGGCATTATTTAGAAGTCAGATCTAATTCATACATTAAGATCTTTTATTTAATTTGAAACGAAAGCCTGTTGACCAACACTATTAAAAATGAGAATTCGATTTAGTTTGCAATAAATTTCATAATAGATTCATCATCCATAAGTTTATCGGATATTTATTTACAATAAATAAAAAGGATTCTAGAAATAGTATATCCAAAAATTCTTAATTTATTATCAATCCAAAAAATATTAGCAAAATTGTTAAATCTGAATTTGATTAAAAATAGAAATAATTGGTTGAACACTCATGTAAATTTACAAAGATAATTTAAATGTGAACATGTGAACATCTTATACATCAGGAAAAATTGTAACACAATTGAAAAATCCAATGAGGTTGAAGAAGAGAGATCCAATCTTTTCATTAATTTAACTTTGGGATACTATCTTAAATCAATTCAATAATATGAAAAGTGACTTTAATAAATAATAGTTCTGGACGAACAATTGCCTATTCAATTAAAATAATTTTTGCTGATTTAATAGATTTACTTATTAATCTATTTTGCTATTTTAAATCAGCTTAAGTAAAGTTGGGATTAGAACAAATTTTAAAATCTAGATTAATCACCCTTTTAAGGTGCAATTGAATTCAGCTAATAATATTGTATTCCCTTGAATTTACAATTATTATTGTTATCCTTTTCATTTTTTTTTAATATAATAAATCATTTGTCTGACAATAAATTATATAAATATTTTAGTTTCCTTTGAATTGAGATAACTCTATAATTCTAAATATATGTTATTTTTTATATAGCTATAGTGCTTGCATAAAGGAATTTTATTAGAAATCATTCATATGGTGAATTAATTATCAATCTATTTAAAATTAGTATCGCTAATAGAAACTGAATCTAAATTAAGGTACATCGATTTCAGTAATAATCTTAATTCTTTATAAACTTGTTATTAATATAATAATGAAATTTAATGATATATACACTGTTGTAAGTGATACTAAATAAAGTTATTATTTGAATGAAATGTTAATCTATTTCTTCTGAAGTTAGTTCATCTAAGAGCTATACTATAAAAAATATAATTAAATTTGAGTATCAAAATTTATGAATTGTATTTACGGAGCGCATTTTTTATTTTAAATAATAAATTTATGACAGAAACTCCAACTAGTTTTTAGAGAATAAATGCAGACATGATATCAAAATTCAAAGGGTAACATGTGACACTTGTTGGAAAATTGATTTAAAGTAAAGGTGATTACGTTGAATTTAGTGTAGATGGAAGTAAAAATATGGCATTATGTAGCAATTGTAAAAGTAACAGAGATTGAGGAAGTTCCAGAAAGTAATGATGATATCCTTTTGGAAATAAGAGGCAAATTAAATGAGGAAGGTTATTTAGAAGCAAAAGAATTTACAGAATTAGATCAAACATTTGATTTTGAACTATATAAGAAAGTGATAAGTATGGTTTAAGGACAATTTAGAGAGTTATTTTATGACTGATTTAATTAATAATCAATTGGTATATACACTTTGAATTATTTCTTGAATTTAACAGTGCTAGATTTGCATAATTTAGCGCGAATAATAAAAACCTTATAAATTCATTTTTTTCTTTTTCAAAATAAAAGCTTAGAAATTTATTTCAAAGCTATTATTCCTATTCTAATATTTGCTATTCTCTATTCCATAAAAAATTAATTATTTAATTGTTATTAAGCTTTAATAATTTTTTATTCGAATATTAAGTTAATATTAATAGTTATTTTTTGATCTTTTCTTTACCTTAACAACTTTCCTGTGTTTAAGTAAATTTCAAAATACGTTTAATAAATTTTGACAAATACTTAGTGATTTTTATTAAATAAAGTAAATATACCAACAGTAAATTGATTAACTTACTTTAGATATTCTCAAGAAATTTTAGGCTTATCAAATAAATAAATAATTTTTAGGAAAATTGAATGAATTTTTAGAACACCATATTTTTTTTGGTGTTACTTTATAACGTTTAAACAGCCATAGAGACACCATGCACGTTGAGAGAGTAGAAAATAAGAAAAATTTTGAGAGGAAACTCTAAAAATATGTTATCCTTTCGAAGTGGTGGTTTACTCACGACGGCAAGAACTAATTATTATTAACCTGATTTTTATAGTAGTATCCCAACCAGAGATACTATTTATATAGTAAATTTCTCATTTGGATTTACATATAGTGCACTAGATTAGTCATTGATATTTCGGACAATGTAATCTTATGAGATCAACACGGTTTTCTTAAGCTTGTGGGATTACACCTATAGAACATACAATTTTTAAGTTTTTATTAGTTTCAATGGGACTGAAAAACTAATATTTGACAGCTTAGCAGCTACAGGAAGCATGTACATAAAATTTGCAGATTAATAAGTCGATACAATAAGATATTATAATAGAGGAGGCAGTACTGATAACTTTGCACTAATTTTAATTAAAGTTGAAGCATTTTATAAACGTTGAAGCAAGCAGAAATTTAATTGATCATTTTAATTTAATTAATTATCTAATTTTAGATTTCAAAAAGAATAAGATTTATTTATATAATATTTAATAATGAAGAATGAGAAAATGGAGATCTATTTAGTTGAATTTGATAACCAATAACTAGAATTTTTTTAATTAATAAAATTGTAAAATATAAAATATTAATTAGTGTATGTAAGGCCTTATATAATTTAAAGCTTATTAGATTTTATTAGCACTTTGTGCAATTATCATTATAATAGGATTAAGGAAAGAATATTAAAACATAATGCTAAGGGATCTGGAACAAATATAAGAATTGGAGCTTCCATAATAAAATGTTGAAAATCAGCAAAACAATCAAGTACAATAATTTGCAGATTTACCTAAAAATTGATTTTGAAATGTTAATATATTTTATATAATTATTATGTAATTTTGGTCAAATATTACAAGAATTGCAAGTAAGATAAAAGAAAAATGTTTGAGTCTAATTAAGCCGCCCGATCCTTTATAAGGCTTAAAAGAATAATTATAAGATATTAATTAAATGGAGGATTAATATTAAGAAATAAAAAATAAATTAGATGAACTTTCATTGGAAAGTTAAGAAACAGCAAATTTGCAAAATGAAGACAAGGAAATATCAAAAGAGAGTGAGAATTACTAGATTGCAATTAAATAAGGTAATTAATTTGGATTATTTTAGTCTACTCAACTTTGACAAAAAAATAAAGGGAATTTTACAAATTGCTAACAGAAGAGGAGTACAATAAAGTTTTAGCAGCTCTAAAAACACCATAATATTCTAGGTTGAAACCAGGTGTTTGGTTAAACGATGAAGTAATCACAATAAATATAATTGTTAGATTATAAATAATTTTACAAAATTATTAGACTTCGAAAATGGGACTGTCATCTTAAACTCATTCTAATTTGACTTATTAATAAAGGCTGATGATAATAAGTTCAAAAGGATATCTTAAAAGGCTAAAATAGATCAAAATACTAAATAAATACTAGCTCCTTTTAACTAAAATAACGTACATTGGTATACTTTTTAAATTGACTTCGAATAATCAGTTATCACAATTTATGATAGTATGAAAAGAAGTAACTATTCTTAATTGTTCAACAATCTTGTAGAAATGGCAGAGAGGATTAAAAACTAAGAATATGAACTAAAAGTCGCTAATTGCCCATAACAAAGCAACTCTCATGATTGTGGAGTATTTACTTTAAAAAACATATGGATATTATCGAAATATCCACAAGCAAAGTTATAAGTTTACTACGATTAATCAACAATCTTTTATGACAGAATACTAATTTGCAATTCCTTATTACAGTAAAAGATTTGATTGCTGTTATTATGTTTTATATAAATATATAAATATTGCAAAGAGCTTAATAATATATCTAATTAACTTATACATTAATAAAATTAATCATAATTAACTGTGTAGCATCATTTTAATCCTTTCGTCATAAGTAAAAGTTTATTGTTATTACATAATGTTTTTAACAAATTAAAATTCAAGTTAAAGAAACTATTAGATTAATGCAGTGTTTGTCAACAATTGTTATGATATATCTTCTGATTTATCTGGTAGCCAATAATAATGATCCTGATTCCAATCAATCACAGCAATGGCTTCTAAGACCTAGGAATATAATAAATTGTTACAGGATCCTATCTTAATAAGAAATTGCTTCCCACATCAGTGAGTTTCTTATCCTCCACAGATGTGATAAACCTTTTGATAATCTTTTATTAATCAGAGTTCAAGGCTTTCTTGTTAGCTCTCTTCTTCAAGTCTTTTATAATGATAAAAATTTATTAATGGACCAAGTCTTATTGGTTAATATATGGCCAATAAGCCATTATCCACTAAAAGTGATCCCAAAATTAGCAATAATTTTATTGCTGATGAAATTTAAATGTCAAAATAGCCAAATGAATCATCAAAGCCTTTAATATTTCTTAATTGAGATTTGCAATAATGTTATTTTAACAACTATCATAAATAAATCTAATAGAATTAAGAGCTAATAAATTCTTCTCTTAAAGAATACATTCCAGAGAATAAGTTAATACTTTAGTGAGTTACTCATATTAAACATAATCTGTCAATCTTATTTGCATGATCTGCATATCTTTCTTACTAACAGTTAATTAGGTGGGAGCCTTCTATGGTTGATTTTAGAGTAAAACACTTAACTTTTGAGCAAAGGCATTCATATTCTTAATATCTTATATGGATTAACCTGTAACATCTCTAATGCTACAATCCAATATTTACCATTTGACATAATCATCAATTTTCTTCTAAGTAAAGCATAGGAAAGTAGCGAAATTATTCAGATGAGGTACCTAAATAGTATTTTTTTTCTGAACTAATTGAATCACAATATTCAATCTTGTCAGATATTATTAGAATACCTCTTCTGCCTATTATTATTATTTTAAGAATAGTAATTCCTGATCAACTTTTTGGTTGAATTGAACAGCATATTACTAGAGGTCTTTTCTAATTAAGGATTCATAAGGTTTCCTATCATCCATATCCAAAAGATTACCCTAACCACCTGTAAAACTATAATCACTTTTGAGATTCTTATCTTGATAAACCAAATATACTATTGTTTCTGGAGAATATTGCATCTCTATTTCAAATTTCTTTCTCACTTCTGCAAACCCATCTTCAAAAAAAAAGCATTGTTCATTGTTTTTGATATATACGCATTCATAATCGCCATCATAAACTATAACAGCATGTAAGTTGTATTCTATCTTATTGAAACTACCCATAATTTATTTAATTTGTTCATCCATTTTGTGAAGCTCTTCCTTCAATTTCTCTAATTCCTAATTTGCTTCCATGATCAAGGATATAAATCCCTCAATTGCTGGATCTCCATCAATCAATTCTTCTCTTTATTCCTATATAATATTAATAGTCATTTGCAAGATCTAAGGAATGCTTTATGAAGTTTATTAATAATTTTCAATATTTTTAATTTTTTGAGCAATTTCTTCTCTCTTCATTGTTAATTCTTTGATATCTGATTAATGTTGTTTGATTGTCCCTTTGTTAGAATGCATAAATTAATCCAAATATATTGTTGACATTAATACTAGATTTGATTTCCTTGTAATTTCAAATTATAAAACTTTTGGCAACTCTTTTATCGAACAATCCTCTTACTCAAATTTCTTTTACAATCCTTCCATAAAGGATTCTTCATCTAAATCAATCTTAATCAAATTAAATGTACTTTCATCATTTCCCTTAATGAATTTACCTATAAACAATTCTCTAATCGGATGCTCTTCCACCAATTAATTAAGCATTGTTCTGTATTTTGAAATTGATTCATCAACTTTCTCGAAGAATCTCACCAAAAACTCTTCAACACTTTTAAATCTAGTATTATAATCATCCTTCATAAATTAATAAACTTCTAATGCTGAGGTGTCTTTTTTCTTGCAATATATCAATTACACAAATAACTTTTGCAAAAGCAAAGTCACACCTTCTTCACTTATAATGGAATCCTATATTTATATTATCTTAATACATCATACTGTAAAATTTACTCCGCAAAAGGTGGAAGATGAAAATATGTCAACATGAAGCAATCAAAAAGTTGAAATTAAGGGGATCTCTTTAGAGCTATAGGTACTCCACTTTTTCTCATCTTCAGATCTATTTTAGATTGCATTTTTGTTGGAGTGTCAAATTTGGTTGGACTTTGATTCATATAATTATGGATTATTTAAAATTTTTAGTATTAAATACAATCAAAAAGAAATCAAAAAATATGTTTAAAATGGACAAACTAATTGAACTTAGTTATAAAGTTGGATCTATCATCACGTGTGTTATTAAAATCACTCAAAATAAATAAATCAGGATATTCAAATGATGATCTAAATTCAAAATTATTATAACACATTTTTGGTGCCTTAATTTTGACACTCTAATTTTATAGATAGTTTCGCAAACTTAATGCTATATAAATGTAAGGATTATCCTAAATTTATGAAGAAAATAAGTTAAAAATAATTAAAATTGTATTTTTTATTAATTAGCCATAGTCTTTTCCATTAAAATTGTATTATAGTAATCCTTCTCTGCAATAATGTTAGTTCCTAAAGTAATTCTGATTTATTAAATTCAACTTAGTTATTAAAGATAGATTTTTTAAAATTAGATAGATAATCTATTGAAATCAAAAGATTTTAATTTCTTAGTAGATTAAATAAAGTTGATTGTTCACTATTAAATTAACTTTTAAAGCATTTGATTAAGTTGCTATAAGTAAGCTATAGCTATTATAATTGGAGGTTATAGAATTTTTTTAAAGACAAATCATCAGCTAAATATAAAAATTTTGAAGATTTAACCAGATTGATATGATTAAAGTATAAAAATGAAGATGAAAATTGGACATAATCTAAAATCAAATTAGGTTCTTGTGGATATAAATAGAATTTAGAATAATTATAGATTAATTATTTATTGCATTGCAACAATTAGTGATTACACTTTCATAGAAATAGAATTCTCAATTAGGGTATATTAAAAGCATTTGTATATGAAATTTAAAATTTGGCATAAAATAATTTGAATTATTTTTACATTAGGTAATAAAAAAGAAGAAAGTAAGAACATTAAATTATTGCTTAAAAGTTTATAGGTATGTTGAAAATAACTTATATTATGTTAATTATTTGTCATTAATTTTATTCTTGCTTAAGATCTGATAATGATTCAGGCTCTCCTTGTTACTGCGATTATTCATTTGATTTATAAAATGTTCTATCCTTCACTAGTTCTGGATGTTTAAGTTTGATGTGCTAGTTGAGAGACCCTTCAGCTCTAGGAAAGACTTATTAAGGAGTTTTACCCGTATTTCTTTTAGCAATTATCAACAGGACAAGTAAAATGTCTTTCGATTTCTTGTGCTGGTCTTCTCAATCTTTTCTTTCTTTCTTCTCCAGTTTCTTCAACATTTGAATTGAGCTCTTGATTTCGACGCTTGAATTTTGGTGATATTAAAAATTACTTCTAATTTATTTAATTTAGTGACTAGTTCATTCTTTTCATTCAAAAGTTCTTTTAACTAATATAAATTCTAAATAGTACTTAATTTGTTAAGACAACATTAGCTATGTATAGTCTCAGATATTCATTGTAGTATTCTAAATTTTGATCTTATTGTGGAACTAAGATTTGAATATGTTTGTACCTTGTTGTTCATCCTATCCAGCAACATAATTTTGAAATCTCAAAGGTTCTTCACCCATAATAAATTTTTAATTCTCGCCATCAGATCTAAAGGTATTGAATATGTAAATACTTTGCATTACTCATTTTATATATAATTATTAATTTTTTTTATTAATAATTTGCCTAACTTAAATTAAATTAAGAATTAAGGAAGAAGATATCGTTTTCATTCATTTTAAAATGAGGGGATTCGAATTCCGTGTAAAATTGAAAATGACATAATTTAAAGTTAATATTTGAGTGTGAAACAAAATAAAACTATATAATTCTAAAATATAATTATTAATTTAACGGATATATATATGGACAGATTTATTCCGAAAAGTAAATCGAAATTGTTGTATCAATCGCACACTTAATCAAATTATAATGATGTACTTGAATTTAATATCGTAGTTATTGTATCATATAAATGAAGAAAAAGTGCTGAATTTTGGAAATCAAAAATAACAGCAGAATTATCCAATATCATTTTTGGACTAGTTACATAATTAATACAGATTGCCTACCTAATAGACTGTTAGATAAATTAGTTCAGTTCCTGAGAAGATATTGGATGCACCAGATATTGCAGATGACTTCTATCTCAACATTTTAGAATGGGGCAATAATAATGTGTTATCTGTGGGATTGCAAAATAAAGTGTATTTATGGAATGCTTCAAATTGTAACTTAATATATCTATAAAATAGAGCACATTGAATAACTTTTATAAGCAACTTCAAATGTTACTGCAGTTCATTGGATCAATGATCATATTTTGGGAGTAGGATTTGATGATGCCTCCATTAAAATAGTAGATGTTTGCTCCTAACAAACAATAACATAGTTATATTATCATAATGAGAGAGTGTCAACGATGAGTAGCAGTTTTGAATTATTGTCAACTTCAGGTAGAGATAACGTTATTTTCAATCATGATCTAAGAGAGAAGAATAATAATGTTGTGGGTGTATTCCAGAAACACACTCAAGAAGTTTGTGGATTGAAATGGAATTCCTCTGGAACTACATTAAGCAGTGGAGCAAATGACAATTAACTCTTATTATGGGATAAGAGGCAAATGTCTTTGCGTTTATCATGTGAAGGTCATTGTGCAGCTGTCAAGGCTATGGCATGGTGTCCATGGTTGCCCAACATCTTAGTTAGTGGAGGAGGCTCCAATGACAAAAACATAAAGTTTTGGAATTCTGATACAGGGTTATGTTTCAAAAGCATAGATACTGGATCATAAGTTTGTGCCTTATAGTTTTTACCAAGATATAGAGAACTAATATCATCACATGGCTTTTCCAAATTCTAAATTAGTATATGGAATGCTGAAGTAATTTAATAGGCCAAATTGGTCTAAGAACTTTAAGCTCATAAATCGAGGGTTTTGCATCTAGGCATATCTCCTGATTAGTCTATGCTTTGTTCTGCGGCTGGGGATGAGACCTTGATATTTTGGAGACTTGGAACTGAGTAAAGTAATTAAGATAAGTAAGAAATGTGTTCCAGCAAAAACCTATTTCTCAGATGATATTATATAATTACTACCTTATAAATAATTTAATAATTATTATAATCTTTCTATAATGATTAGAGGAGACTCCATTGAGTTCAAGCATCTTGCAAATAGCTAGATAGTAATTTGCAAATCTAGCAAAGAAATTCAGGATGGATAAGCTTCAAGAAGAGATCATTTATTCTAAAAATTACCTTCCTTAGATTGCACTCAACCTAATAAAGTTTGGTAAATAAAAAAAGGAGGTTCTGCAAAATGTATTATTGACTCGGAAAGATTGTCAACAGCATAAAAACCACTTACTCCCTAGTAATTATAGAAACAAAAAAGTTAAGTAATCCAAATTGAAGAGAACAACTAATTTGATCTTGGTTCAAGTCTTCATTTCTAAAGATTATTTACTGTAAAGAACAAAGTTAAATCCTCTAATGGATGTGTTAAGACATCAAGAGATGAAAACACAAGTGCATACAATAGTAATATGGTTCTCAAAAAGTCTTAGTATCATCATACTTAATTATCATAAACACAATCTTCGATCCAATTTTAGTAGTGTCCATTTTCATCAGGAAAATCAATCAAAGATATTCTATCTTAATTTAAAGATAAAAAGTATAAATTTTAATTATATTTTAGACCTAAAATTGGAATTACAAGACATAGTGAATTTGAGAAAATGGAAGGACTGGATGACTATGCAAAAGAATTTGGATAAATCTTAGCTTAGGATTAATTAGTTGGACAGGTGATTGGCGATGTTCATGAAATGAAAGGAGTTGTTAAAGCATTAATAGATTTAAGCAATGGAAACAAATTACCATATCATTTTGAAAGTCTCAAACAATTGCATTTGAATCTCAACATAACGGATTAGATGTTTAATCGATTTAAATATCTCTATATAAAAAAACTAATAGATATGAAAATAGGAATGGAAGTCATATTTAAATGTGCATAAACAGTAGAGTATTACAGGGGAGCTATTATATGCAATGTATCTATTCTAATTATTGTAATAGTCTCGCTCTGTTCAAAATGTGAAAGATAGCATAAGAACCATAGCCAAAAATATGTACGCTTAAATTTTTGAAGATTTCTCATTGAGTCCATTGTTCGAAGGAACTAAACAAGAGGAACAAGCGATCAAATTCAGTAGAATCTTCGGGTTCATTTTAGGATCTTCAGAATCGACTAACTATGTGATGGACTCAATGAGAGACTTTCACAAGGCCTTTCGAATAAATTCTGTTTAATACTCAGTTTTCAAATACTACTTATCAGGTGCTTTGTCTAAACATGCTGAAAAAGATGTGGTCTGGTATATACTTGAATAAACAGATGCCTACAAAGCTGCTGTAATTGATTAGGATAGTATCAAAGATTTAGTTTATAAATAATTTGGCATCGACAACTTTTGTAGTGAATTCATTAAGTTATGTTAAACAGATCCCTATATTAATAAGAATTTCATACATAAGATTGGATATGATCAATTTGTTTAGCATACTAAATATTTCTTACATTACGCATTTAACAAATAAAATAATTGTTTTACTCTTGAAGATCTAAGTTAATTGCATTGTCAACATTAAATTAATTTACAATTATATCAGAGTATTAAAGAGAAGTTGATAAGTTTATTGGCTAGACTCAATCCTTAAAGAGTCATCTTTTAGGATTTTGAAGAAGAGTTCGATCTCATATTGCCTTACATTGTCAATAAAAAATTGCCTTGTGATATTGTGGGATAAAAGAGACTGAGTGAGTTTGTTCCTCTGATTTCTGATGAATTGCAATCTAATGTCGAAATCAAGAACATTTTTGATAGTAATGATGCAAATGTCACGAGAACTCTACTAAAAAAATTTGAATATTTGCTGTCGGGTAGAAAATATTTTAAAAGATCTGATATCTAAGCTATACACTCTAGACTTAAGATTAGTGAGGCAGTATTTGAAGAATTTATTTATATTATCGAAAAAGTTATCTAATAATATGATACTTCACTTTTATGGATGATAGAGGCCATAAAAGAATGGAAATATATCATAATAACTGTCTGAGTAATTTGTTTTGTTTTTGGTATATAGTGTTAAATTTAAGTAATTATTCTTAATTAAAATAATATTTAATACAATTGTTACTCATAATTTATCAAAAATTATAATTTTTAATATTTGCCAAATAATTGAGATAAAGGAAAAAATATGTTGACGATTAATTTTTATACAGGTCTCCAATTTTGAATCAGCATATATTTTAAATTAACTTGAAATTAAATATTAATGATTATTAAATTATTTATATGTTGAATTCAACTGCCTCAAACCAAGATGAGATCATCCTGAAATCATCAAAAAGGTTTGTACTAGCAGATCAAGTCAAAGATTTGGAATCTGCCCCCATCTATCGACCTAAAAGATCAAGCAAGAAAGTGAAATTATCACTTGTAACAAATCAACCTTTTACTTAATCCAAAATTTGTTATATTTGTCGTAAAAGCTGCGTAATTAAATTATGTAAATGCGATGATATATAATATCATCCTGATTGTGTGATTGCTGAAATGAAGAAGCCTTCATCCTCAATATCAACTTTGCAATGTCTGTTTTGTTTATGTTTCTTTAAGACTGAAATTAAGACTAAGAAGTATTACATATTTTGAAGCAATAGATTTCACTAAAGAAAGGCATATCGAAATTACACAATCATACTCGCTATCTTAATTGCCACTCTCTTAATCTTAATTGGAGTACTCTGGAATTCGCTTGATGCAGAAATCACAATATTCTTATTTATCATCACTCTATTACTCTCCCTAATTGCATTATATTGCTACAAAAAGATTTATTACATAGAAATAGAGTGGAGATTAGTACCAGTAGAAGATGAACTAATGGACCTTTCGGGTTTTGACAATGCAAAATTAATTTACCAGGCCTTCAATACAAATACTGCCCATTACATTTTAGATACTGAAATGTCATGAACAAATTGAATTAATTACAATTTCTTGATATATATATTTAAAATCCCAACAAAATCAATATATAATACTTCAAATTATTATTTTCAGTATTAATTTTCATCACTGAATATTTAAGCACTTACTTATAATTAAATTTTAGATATTTTTTTGATAAATAATGGATTTACAGGAACATTGCCAAGTAATAGGTGAATCTAATAAGTATTTACAATATAAATCGATAAGTCACAATCCCCAGTTCGTCCAAGAAGTAGAGGAAGAGATAATAGAATTGTGCGAACCTATTGTCATCATTGAATAGATGCAAGAGTAAACTATCATTGAACTTGACTAAGCCTAATTTGGTACTAATTACGATAGTGAACCTAAAGAAGGAATGTGATAGGGTGATTTCAATACAAATTATTTATCTAAAATTTATATTTTATTTATGGATTCTTCACAATAATAAACAGATCTAAAGGTTTCTAATTAAGCTCAAAATAATTCAACTTAAGATGAAGTGGAACATTTACTTATTGAAAACAACATGAACCAAGCAAATAAGGAACTTTCACATGATGGATAGCATTAGAATAATATTAAAATAGATCAATCGATTTAACATTAATTAAAAACAGAATAGCTTTCAGAAATTATAAATATAAGTAAGGATAAAGGTGAAACAACCAAATAATTAGACTCCGTTCCATAAAAATAGAAGGAAAATGATTCAATAAAATAGAATGAGAATCATTAAGAAAGATTAGAACATGAGAACCATAATCCATAATTTGTTGAATCTATATATGAGACTGTTCCATAACCACTCTAAAAATTGGAATAGTTATAAAAAGTAGATAATGCATTTGTCGATCATTCTCAATTTGAAATTTTAGATAAATCTAATGCTTAGTAATTAAATTAGCAAGAACAAATAAAGTGTGAATAATTTGATAATAAACTCCATTCAGCTTTAAACGTATCCAAGGAAGATCAAATAGAACCTTAATTAATTTATCCAACATTAAATTTTGATGCAAAAATAAATCCTTAAAAGGAAGTTATTGAAGAGGAAGAAAAACAAGTTGAAGAAGGGGTCATTATTGATGAAACTAATAAAAGCTTTCCTGCTAGTAATTCATTCAATTCTTAAGTTCAAAGCTCACCTTAAGTAATAGAAATTGACTAGAAATCATAACTTATTCTTTAATTCTAAAAATCTCTAGATGAAGCAAATTTTCTCAAAAACCAAGGAAATTAATGTTTTCAATTGAAAAACTATGGGAGGGCTGTTGAATAATATAATCTATCTTTAGGATTATGTGATCCATATTATTTAATTTAATGTCCTGAAGAATAACTTTAATAATTCAAAAAATTACGAATAAACTTGCTATCTAATCTAAGTGCTTGCTTTTTGAATCTAGGAGACTATAATTCTTGTATCACACATGCTAATATTGTAAATTCTATTTCAATTAATAGGCAATCCAACTTGATCCCACTAATTAGAAAGTTTGGTATAGAAGAGCCATTGCATTTTAATAAAAATAAGATTATGAAGAAGCATGGAGAGATATTGATTAAGCTTGGAATATAGTCAAGAATACCACCTAAAACTAAGAAATCTTCGAAAAAAGAAAAGAAATTAGGGAACTATTAAGATAATCAAATAAAGAAAGAACCTAGCTTTATTAAACAATGCTAAGTAATACTTAAAATCAAACTGATAATAAAAGTACCGTAAATTAATCCAAAACTACTGATTCGAAATTGGCAACTAGTGAAATGAAATCAAGATCAAACAATAATGAAAATAATTAAGTAAGTTTTCGATATGCTGATATCATTTGGAAAACTACTGCTTCAGCAGTTCTTGCCTCTTCAATTACTAAATATATTTTGGAGGATCAACTCGATACAAAGATGGGTTTGATTGAAACTATAGTATTGAGTTCTACTACAGCATCATGTCTATTCGCAGAAAAACAGTGGTAAAAACTTTGTTTTGCAACTGTCACGGCTGGATTTTTAGCCTTTGTTTTATATAGGAAATCAACTAAGTGAATTATAATATTCAATAGTATGAAAGAATCTAGTAGTATTATTCTTTAATTTTAAAGCTTAATAAGAATTTAGATATTGTTTTAATAAAATATTTCGATAATCAATTGAATCTTAAATTATTGAGTAATTCTTTAATATTGTTAGTTGATTTGCTAACTACCTATCTTTACACTTTGGTGATATCTTAGTTCAATTCATCCTTCTCAATGACCAGCTGATGTTATAATTAAGTGAGATTATGAGATTTGTGGCCTTTCTTAAGATTTTATCTAAGTTTAACATGCTTTTCTAGAATTCTATCATTTCTCCTTTCCATTTTGATTATATATTTATTCAATAATTCTTATTATTTCTACTGCTTTTGAAGAGCTACCTATTTCATTTTTGATTGAATATTATCTAATCTTTACTTCGCCTTTGCACTACTAAACATTATTTTTTCCTATAATTCTTGATGAATCATGCTCTCTCTTTACGATTACATCTATGTTTTGGAACTTAGATTTTTATGAACCTTATTAAACTTTCGATCTTATTCATCTTTAAATTTCTATAGAGCCTTTTATATTTCTTATTAATTCTTATTAGTCACTTAAGCAGTCTTTTCGACATAATTTCCTATTTTCTAAATAACTTTATTTTGCTGCTCTTATTCAATCAATTAAGCTTATAGTATTCTATCTTGACTGGCAATACCTTATCGAATAAAAGTGCTTCTTTGTGAAGTTTCCATTGAATATTATAATTTCGTTCTCCGCAATTCGTCTTGTTCTATGATATTCTTCTTCTTTTATCTATGATAATCCAAAGTCTATTGTGTTTTAGATTACATCATAATTTTGAATTTCATCTTAGATTCTTACAAGGTCTTTTAGATTGGTTCAAATCTAGAGTCAAAGTCAAGGCTTTTACTCAACCTATCATCAAGTTCATGGCGTCTCCGCTCTTTTAATAAGGATAGCTTTCTCTCTACTTTGTTATTGTGTTACTTAGCCTTATGAGAGATGGATTTAAATTTTTCTTCGACTTGCCTATAAATTTTATCGGAATTCCTCTATTATGCTTCTTTGATTTAAAGTTCAGACTAATATAGCTGTTTGAGATCGTGATCAAAAATCTTTTTAACAAAGTTATATTATTTCGATTATTTTGGTGTTCTTAGTACAATTTTAACTGATGGACCTATGATTTCTCTTCTCCGATTCACTAAATTCGAGAGGTTATCTAAAGAAATCACACAAGAAATGCCTACCTTTGAGTTATTGTAGATGATTTATGTACATGGTTCGCGATTCATGATGATATTGTAAGAAATTGGACAAAGTTCTTGTATGATAATTTGGGCACTATTTTACTTAAGTTAGCAATCATATTTTGTTAAATTAAGTTCTTTCATGGCATGCTATGTGCGTGGTGATTCTAAATTTAATCTCATGAGTAACTGATTGATTTCTCTTAAATGAGATTAATCACTCTTACTGTCCACTTCTGTAAAAAAGGTTTTCATTTTAATTATAATATTAGATAGTAAATTAATAATTATTGAATCCTTTATTCATTGTTATCCAAAATCATTTTATTAAATATAAAATAATGTTAAAGTAATACTTATAAATTTAATGCTAAACTTGATTATTTACATATTAATTAATTGGCAGATTCAATTATATATTTCTTAAGTTTGAGTTATACTATTTATAAATTAAATCAAAAGTTTTATAGAATGAACTAATAAATTATTTTCTTTTTGAGTAGAATTAATGATTAGAATTTTGTTATTAAAAAGTAAGTATTAAATAGTGAAGTTTACTTTGGAAAAGAGTTGTTAAATGTGAAATAAAAGTGGTTGTTATCTAGCATTTAATATAATAAATAAATCTTAGACAATTAGTTGGAAGAAATTGATAGGACTATTAGAATTTTGAAATAACCATTATGAGAATTGAGGAGTAGACACGAATAGATGGGTACAGGTTTACAATTCTTTATGACAAGATTATTATTTATCATTGCTATATTTATATAAGGTAATTAAAAAATTTGAATCAGAAACATATCCTTAATTATTAAAATAAACTATGCTCACAAAAGCATTAGCTAGATAGATGCGTGTAGGTAATAATTTTAATGTAATTTTTGTACAGCATTCTCTGCTGCAAAGAAGGAAGCATCAACTTCAACAAAATAGGCAACAGCAACAACAGGATAGATTGCCTAAGTAATTGGTGCAGTTGTAGATGTGCAATTTGATGGTCCTTTACCTCCTATTTTGAATGCTTTGTAAGTTTAAGGAACAAGTCATAAATTGATATTGGAAGTGGCTCAACATTTAGGTGATAGCAGAGTCAGAACAATCGCCATGGATTCAACAGAGGGACTTATTCGTGGTTAACCAGTTTCAGATTTGGGCGGTCCAATTACAATTCCAGTTGGCCCAGAAACATTGGGACGTATTATGAATGTGATTGGTGATCCAATTGATGAAAGAGGCCCAATCGAAACAAAAATCAGATATCCAATTCACAGGGAAGCTCCAAGTTTTGTTGACTAAGGTAGTGGTGCTGAAATCTTGATCACTGGTATTAAGGTGGTCGATTTATTGGCTCCATATGCTAGAGGTGGTAAAATCGGATTGTTCGGTGGTGCAGGAGTCGGAAAGACTGTGTTAATTTAAGAATTGATTAATAATGTTGCTAAAGCCCATGGTGGTTATTCAGTGTTTGCAGGAGTAGGAGAGAGAACAAGAGAAGGAAACGATTTATACCATGAAATGGTTGCCTCTGGTGTCATCAACTTGAGTGGTGGATCAAGATGTGCCTTAATTTATGGATAAATGAATGAACCCCCCGGTGCCAGAGCCAGAGTTGGTTTGACTGGTTTGACAGTTGCTGAATATTTCAGAGATGAAGAAGGAAAGGATGTGTTACTCTTTATTGACAACATTTTCAGATTCACATAAGCATGTTCAGAAGTGTCAGCCTTGTTGGGACGTATCCCATCAGCTGTCGGTTATCAACCAACATTGGCAACAGATTTAGGTTAATTGTAAGAACGTATCACCACAACCAAGAAGGGATCTATTACATCAGTCTAAGCTATTTATGTGCCTGCAGATGATCTTACAGATCCAGCACCTGCTACAACATTTGCTCACTTGGATGCCACCACTGTGTT